CTATAAACATTGGGGTGCAAGTGCCCCTATGCATCATCACTCCTATATCCCTTGGGTAAATGCCTAGTAGTGCTACTGCTGGGTCATAGGGTAGGTCTATTTTTAATTTTTTGAGGAACCTCCACACTGTTTTCCAGAGCGGCTGCACCAGTTTGCATTCCCACCAGCAGTGCAAGAGGGTGCCCGTTTCTCCACATCCTCTCCAGCATCTATAGTCTCCTGATTTGTTCATTTTAGCCACTCTGACTGGCGTGAGGTGATAGCTCAGTGTGGTTTTGATTTGTATTTCTAAAAGGGAGGTTTTTAAAGGTGGCTTCCTCTTAACCAACTCAGAAGGATAGCCACTTAATCACTTGGCTGAAGAATTAGGAGTATAAAAACATGAGTGAATTCTAAAGTGTGGTTGTAGTCAGATGAATCTTCCTAAAACATGGTTTGAATCAGAACTCTCTCCTTTTAAGAAATCAGGAGTTTCCCAGTGCTTATGGAATAAAGTGGTTTGGTCTTTGATCAGGTGTATGAAATACTCCCAAGTAGAGTCCTAAAAAAACATTACAGCCTTACCTCAAACAATGTACCTAAATGTGCCCTTGTTCCAGCCTACTTCCTTTAACATGCTCTTCTTTTTAATTTCTGCTGACTGATCTTTCAAGACCCGTCTTGGGATATGCTTTCTTCATGCACTGTTTCTGATTGTCAGGAGTGCCCAATGTAGATGTTCCTTGTACTTATGTCACAGAACATACCCCATTCGATTTCATCATCTATAGTTACTAGTGCTATTTTATTCACCCTAGTAGATGGTAAGCTAGCTAATAAGCCTGGACTATCTTACTCACTTTCGTATTTTCCAAAACATCCAGAATAGTGTGGTGCCTTGTATGTGGTGGTTCCTTAATAGTTATTAAGCCTTGTTTATGTCCCTTGATTTCAAAGGAAGCTTCATACTGTGCATAGACTATTTTGCTCAGATTTACTGCCAAAAGTAGCAGCCAACAAGTAGAAATCCTGTTACTTTCATCACTGAGAAGCTATAGCATTGAAGGAGGACTGTCTTTGGGGATGTGTGTTACTTTTTGGAATTGAAGTGTTTGAGGAAGATCACCTCGCTGTGTGGCACCAATTCCTTGTTATTTCCCCATTAATGTGGTAGGGTTACTATCATAATCATTCAATGTATTGGGTGGCAACTAACTTTAGCATCTAAGAAAACATGAATACCTTTAACATAGTAACAGTGTATTAGGTTATTTAATAAAGAATATCCATGTCCACATAAGCATGTGCCTTATGACAAAAAAAAAGTCACCTTACTCGTTACTAGTTCCTGACAGTCTTCAGAAAACATGAATCATTGGAAAGGAACCAGTTAGCTCAGAGAGGTGACTGTTTCTTTGGATCAGGGTGGTGATGGTGGAGTAAAGATGGTTAATATAGGATTGGTTAAGTATAGAACACACACTGAATAATTTCTAGCATGGTGTTATCTGCTAGGGTAAGCTGCCAGTTAATTATCTTTATTCTTTCTACTGAAATGGCCTAGAATCATTTTTATTTAGTTTTGTAGTATGGTCTTTGCTTATATTTAACACTGATGAAGAGATTTATAATATTTCAGACTTTACAGACTTGATGCAAAAGAAACTGGATGCTTTTTACCTTTATATATAGTTCAGTTGTACCAACATTTGCTCTGCTATGCCATTTCTATCTGAGCTAGGGTGCAGCAGTCCACTGCAGGGCAAACATCCTAAGCTCTCATGTTTTCTGGGAAAAAGAGGCAATATCAGTGATGTGGTTTAAAAGGCATGGCCTTCCATTTTCTGCATGGATGGACTAAATGGATGTTGTATGTTGGGGAGAAGTAAACAATGCTGGGAGCTCTTAGACCCATATTTGTACAAGTTATGTGATTGATTTCCAGTGAAGCTTTCTAGGATGTCAGAAAAGAATGAGAACACTCTAAACTAGATTATTTTCATGTGATGAGCACATGGCATGAACTGTTAGAAGACAGATAATGTAACCTGTGTCAGATCCTATGATAGAGGTACATCTACAAGGGATATTATATCCCTTTATTACTCTAAGTAAAGAGAATATCACCCACTTGGGTTAACTCAGCAGTTAAAAACCTTTTCACCTAGGGGTGCCTGGGTGGCTCAGTCAGTTGAGTGTTTGACTTAAAAATTTTTTTTTTAATGTTTATTTATTTTTGAGAGAGAGAGAGAGAGACAGAGCACGAGCAGGAGAGGGGCAGAAAGAGAGGGAGACCCAGAATCCAAAGCAGGCTCCAGCTCTGAGGTGGTCAACACAGAGCCTGATGTGGGACTCGAACCCACCCACGGACCACAGGATCATGACCTGAGCTGAAGCTGGACACTTAACCGACTGAGCCACCCAGGTGCCCTAAGGTTATGACTCCTGATTTCAACTCAGGTCGTAATCCCAGGGTCATGGGATTGAGCCCTTCATTGGGCTCTGTGCCAAGTATGGAGCCTGCTTGGGATTCTCTCTCTCTCCCTTTCTCTCTCCCGCCCTCTGCCCCTCCCCCACTTGCTCATGCACACACTCATTCTCTCTAAAATAAAAAAAATTAAAAAGCAAAAACAATATATATAAAAAAGGTTTTCATGTGTTTTGGGGGAAATACTTAGCTTTTTATTTCTCCTGAGCTTTGTCTAAAAAGATTGCATGTCTGTAAGAGACAGTGTGAAACAACATATATTCTTTAATAGCAGTTTGCTAAAAGGAAGTTTTTCCCCCTTCCTCTCTCAAAAAGATTCTTGAAGGTTGAAGTTAAAAAATGTCAGTAGATTGGGGGTCCTGGCTGGCTCAGTCAGAGGAGAATGCAACTCTTGATCTCCGGGTTGTAAGTTCAAGTCCCATGTTGGGTGTAGAGATTACTAAAATCTTTAAAAAAAGGTCAGTAGATTATATATTAAAAGAAAATAGGCTTTTTGTGATTCAAGGCAATCATTCTAAGTTGCATACAAATACAATAGATAGGCTTTTTTCTCTCTCTCATTAAAGGTGGCTTTCTAGAAGATGACCATAGAGGACCTTCCAGATTTTCCAGTAGAAGGAAATTCTTTGATTGGAAGATACCCATTTTTATTTCCAGGTTCTGATACACCAGTTGTCTTTTCCATTTCTGCAGCACCAATGCCTTCGGACTGTGGTATGTTAAGTAGCCGTATGTGTTTTCCGTAGACTGGAGACTTGACTTCTATCTTATGCCCTTTTTGCATTCATAATTCTTCCTAAAGCCATTTGCTGTGGTTTTCATAAAATTGCTAGTTTTCCTTTTTCAAAAATACAATTGCCTTTTTCTGCCTCTTAAGCTAAATGCTTTATTTCTGCTGTCTGCATTTTTATTATGTAAAAATGTTCATTTTAAGCACCATGATGGATTTAGAGGATCTTATTTTTAGAATGCAGTGGTGCTTAGACATCTAGCATTCTTTTGCTATTGATGTATTTATTTTGGTTAAATATACTGACTTGCTTAAAAAGCCATGTATTAAGACAAAACAAAATACTGTGAGCTAGCCATCTCTAAGGGCCCTGTTGTCTCTGAAATGCTAGGATCTAATTTACCAAATAATCACTGCTGAAATGATCCAAATTTGGGTGACAGTGTAATAAGTTATGTGTTTCAGTACATAAGCAAGCCGAGTTTGGACTGTCCCAGGTGTCTTCCATTGTAATTATAAGGTATACACAAAGACAGTAAAACTTAAAAAAAAAAAAAAAAAAAAGCCATATGCCTAGGCAGGGAGAGTGAGACCTTTCCCTGGAATGTGGAATGGGTTGGCTCATATTTAAATCAGCTCACTTAAATATCCTTTGTAAAATGTAAATTTATAACTATTCTAGTTTTTACTTATTTAGGCTTATTTCCCTAGACCTGTGTTTTATCAGATACTGATAAAAGAATAAAAGAAAACAAGGAGATAAATTTGATAGATTTGTTACATTTCTAATTTAGTTAGGATTTTTCAAGTAAAGTATTGGGTCATCATTTCAAATCGTCTTTGGAGGTAAAGATCATGCAGGTTTTATTTTTTATTTTTTTTTGTTTAGAAATGCAATTTTTAAGTATTAGTAGGTATAAAATTATTAGATTGGGAATTTATCTAACTTAGTAATATCGATTTTAATAACTGCTCATCTCCAAGTTCAGATTTTGCCTTGTAATCACCAAAAGTATTATGTAAAACCTGAGCCTATATCCTGGGAGGTATGTGCAGCTTTTACAAAACATGGACTGGGCTTATCTTCAGGTATAACAAAATCAGTAATGCAGGAAAAACCTTAACTAAAGCACTTTGTACCTTGCTTATGACGCTTACTTCGTTCTATCCCAAGTCATAATTGTGTGATCTCTTTACCCAGACCATAGCTCTTTGGGATGGGGTAGCAATCAAGCTTTGTTTTGGTTTGTCTTAGGGCTAATATAGCCATTTGTTGCTCAGTCAGTGTTTGTTGAATAAATACACTGAATGTAAGGTGATAATGGATATTGACCCTTATGTATAACTGAAATTAAATATTGCTTATATGCTTAGAATTATACATTCTTAGAATCTGAATGGACCTGTAGGTCAGCTTTTCCCTACTCTCTTCTTAGGATAGAAATTCTATTTTCAAGATCTCTAATAAATAACCACTCAGTCACTTGGATATCTTCAAGAGTGGGAAACTAATGAAATAGTCCATTTCATGGTTAAAAAGTTTTAGGTGTGATAAAATTGTTTTTGTATTTACACTCAAAATATGTCTCCTGGAAACTTTGGCCAACTGATACTGGTTTTTGCTGTGTGGAACACACTTCTTTATATGATAGCCTTCAAATATTTAGAGATAATTTGAATATTTTTACCTAGCTTGTACTTCCGTAGGCTACAAGTTTCTGGTTCCTTCATCATTCCCTCAGTGGCAGGATTTCTAGACCCTTTTCATTCTAATTGTTTCCTTCTTAGTACACTGTTGTCAGTGTCCCCTTTAAAAGTGGCACCCTGAATTTATTAAGTATTTTTTGAGGGCCTGTTATGTGCTAGGTACTGTCCTAGGTGCTGAGGATAACACAGTGACCAAGACAGACATTCTAGTGGGAAAAGATAGTAAATTAATAAACAAAATATAAATATCCCAGTCAATTTTGTGGAGGAAAAAAACAGGGTGCTGTGATAGAGGATTAGTGGAGCATCTATTATAGATGGGGTAGTCATCTGGAGTCAGAGGAAGCTGGTCACAAGAAGATCTTGGAGAGAAGTGTTACAAGCCAAAGAATAGGAAGTTAAAGGCACAGAGTTGGGGGAAAAGCCTTTGGTATATCCTAAGAATTAATGGAAGGCCATCGTGGCTAAGAAGCAAAGTGATTGAGGGGCAGAATGACAGGAGAGGAAGTTGGAGAGGAAGGCAAATCTTGCAGGATTATTTAAGCCTTGGCAAGGGATTTGTATTTTATGCTAAGTGTAATGAAAGCGAGCCATTGAATGTGAGGCTGAGAATGAGATTAAAACAAGAAACAAAGAAAGACCACCCTGCACAAACCAGAGCTTAGATGTATAGTTCAGTGTTGATTCTCAAGGTGGTTACTCTGTGAGACAATATAAAGACTTTTGATTGCTTTGAATACCTTCAGAGCCAGTTTACACAGAGCACATATCACGTGTGTCATAAACTGCACAATGCAGTGTTATTACTTTTGTTTAAACAGTGAATTGCCTCTTAAATGGACTTAAGTAATAACAAATCTTATTTGCCCATGTAGTTACCATTTTTTCCAGTGTTCTTTATTGTGCAGATCTAGATTTCCAGTCAACACCATTTTCCTTCTGCCTGAAGGGCTTCCTTTAACATTTCATGTAGTACAGGTCTGCTGGTGAGGAATGCTTGCAGCTTTTATATGTCTAAGGACATACTTATATTACCTTCTCTTTTGAAAAATGTTTGCTGAGTATACAGTTCTAGGTTGATAGTTTTTTTTCTTTTGGTGCTTAAAGATGTTGGTCCATTGTCATTTTACTTGCATTGTTTCTGATAGGAAATCTGCTTTCATTTTTGTTTCTCTGAATGTAATGCGTCTTCCCCGCCCCGCCCCCCCCGTTGCTTTTAAGATGTTCTCCTTATCATTGATTTTTGAGTAATTTTTCCATTATGTGTCTTGGTGTAATTTTTTTTTTTTTTTAATGTTCTTGTGCTTGGGGTCTGTTGAGCTTCTTAGACCCGTTGGTTTCACTTTTCATCAAGTTTAGGTAATCATTCCTTCAAATATTTTTCCTGCCTCTGAACCCTTTCAGACACTCCAGTTACGTGAATATCAGACTACTTGAAGTTGTCCCACAGCTCACTGATGTTTTTTTCATGTTTTAAAAATTCTGTTTCATTTTAGTTTCTGTTGCTATGTCTTCAAGTTCATTAATCTCTTCTTCTGCAGTGTCTGATCAGCTGATGATCTTACCCAGTGTAGTTTTCATCTCAGATGTTGCTTTCATCCCTAAAGTTTGATTTATGTCTTTTTCATATCATCCATGTCTCTACATAACTTTTTGAACATTTGGAATACAGTTATAATGACTGGTTTAATATTCTTTTCTGTTAATTATAATTTTTTTTAATGTTTATTTTAGAGAGAGAGCATGTGAGAGTGGGGGAGGGGCAGAGAGAGAGGAAGACAGCGTACCTGAAGTGGGCTCTGTGTTGACAGCAGACGATCTGATGCAGAGCTCGAACTCACTAACCATGAGATTGTGACCTGAACTGAAGTTGGATGCTTAACTGACTGAGCCACCCAGGTGCCCCACTGTTAATTATAATTTTTGTGCCAACTCTAGGTCTGTTTTTTTTTAATTTATTTATTTTTTACTTTTTTTATTAAAAAAAGTTTTTTTTTAGTGTTTATTTATTTTGAAGGAGAGAGAGACAGAGCATGAGTCGGTGAGGGGCAGAGAAAGAGAGGGAGGCACAGAATCTGAAGCAGGCTCTAGGCTCTGAGCTGTCAGCACAGTGCCAGACACGGGGCTCAAACTCACGAGCTGTGAGATCATGACCTGAGCTGAAGTCAGGTGCTTAACTGACTGAGCCATCCAGGTGCCCCTAAAAATTTTTTTTTAAGGTTTATTTATTTTTGAGAGAGAGAGAAACAGTGCAAGCAGGGGAGGGGCAGAGAGAGAGGGAGACACAGAATCCAAAGCAGACTCCAGGCTGTGAGCTGTCAGCACAGAGCCTGATGCAGGACTCGAACTCATGAACTGTGAGATCATGACCTGAACCAAAGTTGGACACTTAACTGACTGAGCCACCCAGGCGCCCCCTCTAGGTCTTTTTCAGTTGGTTATCCCTGATTATGGGTCCTGTTTTCTCCTTTCTTTGCATGCCCAGCAATCTTTGATTGAATGACAGTCATTGTGAATTTACCTGTTCAGTGCTGTGTTTTTTCTATTCCTATAAATATTCTTGAAGTTTGTTCTGGGATGCAGTTAAGTTACTTGGAAATAGTTTGGCCATTTCAGGTCTGGTTTTTTGATTTGTTAGGTACTTCTGGAGCAGTGCTAATCTCAGGCTAATTATTTCTCACTATTCAGTACTCTACCCAGTGCCCTGTGAATTTTTTCCCTAGTCTTTTTGGTAGAAATAGGCACTATTTTAGGCCTTTTATAAGCACTGGGCTCTGATCCTTTTAATCCTTTTAGACGGTTCTTTCTCTTACTTTGGGTTTTACTTGTAAATGTATGTCAAGTACTCAAGAGGACCCTCCATAAGTCTTTGAGGTTCTCTCTCCTCTGATACTCTTCCCTGTGAGCTCTAGCTTCCTTGATTTCCTTGGGTTCTCAGCGCTGTCTCCTCAACATAGGGAGTCTTCTGGGCTTCTCTTGGTTTCCCTCTCTCTGCACTGTAGTGCAGAAACCTGGGACAATCGTAAGACTCACCTTATTTATACCTGTCTCTTAGGAGTCACTGTCTTTCATTGCCTTGATGTCCAGTGCCCTTGAAAACTGCATTTTATCTATTTCCTTTGTTTTTTTTGTTGTTTCAGATGGCAGGGTAAATCTGGTCCCCATTACTCCATGTTGACATGAAGTGGGTAAACGGGACACCTCCACCTTTCTTTAGGTTAAAGCTTTTTTTTTTTTTTTTTTTTTTTCTGTATGGGCTCAAACTTTGGATTTAGTTAGAATTGTTACTATGCAGTGTAGCATAGAGGTTAAGATCACAAAACAGTCTGGCTTTAATCCTGACTCAACCACTTACCAGTTGTGTATTCTTTTAAATTTTTTTTTTTCAACGTTTTTATTTATTTATGGGACAGACAGAGACAGAGCATGAACGGGGGAGGGGCAGAGAGAGAGGGAGACAGAGACAGAGGGAGAGGGAGACAGAATCGGAAACAGGCTCCAGGCTCCGAGCCATCAGCCCAGAGCCTGATGCGGGGCTCGAACTCGCGGACCGCGAGATCGTGACCTGGCTGAAGTCGGACGCTTAACCGACTGCGCCACCCAGGCGCCCCACCAGTTGTGTATTCTTAGGCAAATTACTTATTTTTAACTGCCCCTTCTTTGTTCTACTTCCCCTTTGATAAAATGAGAACAATAATAGTGCCTACCTCATATGGTCATTATGAGGATTAAATTAGGTAATATTTATAAAGTGCATAGAACAGTCCCTGGCACCTATTAAGTACTATTTAAATGATACCTGCTGTTTGCCATCACCTCAGTGTATAATTACTGAAGCATTGTTATATGCTTTATTATTTATTGGGCTACTGCTCCCTCTTGCTACTCAGGTCATTATTCTTTTTAGTTCAGATGTTCTTGTTTATTTATCTTACATTTACTTTCTAGATTTTTGCTACTCAAAGTGTGATCTTTAGTCTTGTAGCATTGGCATCACTGGGAGCCTGTTAGCCAATCCCAGGCCCCACTTGAGATTTACTGGATCAGAATCTACATAGTAACAAGATCCCTAGGTGATTCCTATCTATACTAATGTTTGAGAAACTCTGCCAACAGATGAACAGTAGAGTCATTTTGTATCTCCTCTTACAATAAGTCTTGGTGAAATGATGATTAGAATTGAAATTATTTTAAATAATTGTTTTTGGTAAAATTGACAGTTTTAAATATTTTAGTTTTTAGTTCAGCAATGTAATATGTCTTTTCCATTTAAATCCCTCTCCTCTTCCAATTTTCTATAAATAAGCTTCACACATTCATTGGTATGTTTGTTACCTTAATTGATATTATGTGTGGGATTCTTTTCCTGTTGCTTTTCATTTTTTAAAAATAGGAATATAAAATGGGAATATAAAAATGCACAAAATATAATAATAGCAAACATGTAAGTCATACATATCTACCATCAGAAAGAATAGATATTATATTTTGTCATTTTTCCTTTAGCTCTTGTTTTTTAGTTACAAGAAAATCTTGAAGTTGAAACTCCTTGTTTTCCTTTGGTCCTATTCCCCTTACTCTCCAGAGGTAACCACTATCTTAAATTTAGTGTGATGATTCCAAACCATATTATTTATATACTTATTATACATATGAGCATCCGTAAACAATGTGTAGTACTGTTTTGTGTATTTGTAATTTTATGTAAATGATAGATACTGCATATCATTATGTAGCTTATTGATCAGTATGTTTTTTTTGAGACCTATGCTTATCAGTTAATGACTTAGATATCTGAATTCATTTATTTAGTTGTAAAAAAGCAAAAGAATAGGCCACTCCAATCCATTCCTTTATGGAGAGATGTTTCAGCCCAAATGTTTTGCCATTATAATAAATGCTACAGTAAGAATTCTTGAATCTGTCTCCTGCAGACACATGCAGAAGAGTCTCTTTAGGTATATATTTAGAAATCTCTCTACTAGAAATGCCCAATGCCTAGGAAAGGGGTTCATCCATAAATATTTATTGAATAGATAAATCAATTAGACACCCCCTCCCCAATCTAGTCAACTGCTGTTTATAAGAAACACGCCAAAATCTATGTTTAAGAAACCATGCAAGGTGCTTCTCCATGTTGGATACCAGTTCTTTTCTGTGTCTTCCCTTCTGAACCTAGAGGACCATTCTGTTGTCTGAGATTTTGGATAGTATCTTATTTTAGTTTTAGTCTTTCTGATTCTCTTCTAATGGACTGTGGCTCCCCTTTTATACACATTCTTGGTTGTGGGCTTTTATACTCACCTTTTAGTTATCCTGATTCTTAAAGTATGAATTATGTGTACATAAGTGTAATTTTGGAAAATATTTAAAAACATAAAGAACATAAATACGAATCCTGCTACTCATGTATGCTGTTAGAAGCTGACTTCAATAGTGAATTCTTTTCGGGAGACAGTATAGTAGAGGAAGGAAGATAGACTTTGGATATAGAACTGGTTTTCCATTCCAGATTTGCCACTCACTAGCTGTGTGACTTTGAGTATGATTTAGTCTGAGCTTTGGTTTCTTTATCTGCAAAATGAGAACAATAATCCCTCCTAGGTAAGGTGTTTGTGAGGACTTGTGTAGTGTTTGGTAAATTGTAAGCACTCAGCAAATGTTGGTTCGCTAATGCTTTCCTTCTTTAAATGCTTCTGGTTTTTTAGATTCCCTGCCCTTTTTTTTTTTTAAGATTCTTCAAGATCGTAGAATCTGATTTTCTTCCATTCTCTTTTATTCTGTAGCCATAGGATGACCAAAGTTGTCTGAGAATCTTAGAAAAGTTTTATCTTAGAAAAGTTTTAAGAGATATTTAGGTAATGTTCAATGTTGCTAATATTCCATGTTTTTACTAATACACATTCCAAAATAAGCCAGTCACTCTGTCCTAAGGTTTCATTTCTGCGTTGCCAGAGACTGTTGCCTAATTGGTTGGCGTGGCAGTTCTCCTTGTGCTTTTCCAGTGCGTAAAAAGTAATGCAATGCCTGTTTCTTATGGAAAATTGGGCAAATCAGAGAAGTAAAAAGAATATTTAAAATTATAGACTAGTTGATATTTTGGTATTTTCCCTTTTATGAGTGGTTGATGTGAATCTACTGTTCATGATATATTTATGTTGTAAGAGCTGAAAATATTGATAAAATTTGACAAAGTTTCTGTGCCTTAGAAGTAGTTCTTGGAAAATTCAGTGTTTGAGATGGGTTGCACTCACATTTTTGTTTCATCTGTAAAAAAAATGTGGTATGATGCACAGAAATCTCGTTCTCACAGCTGTTCAGGAATGCTTCATACTTTTTTGGCTTTCTTGACTTTGGTTTTGAAAATTGCTTAAGGTAAACTTTTGCTAGGATCTAAAAATATTTGTATCATTTGAGCACTGGTCTTATTGTTTATTATTTTCAATATATTTATTTGTAACTTTTAATAAGTTTAATTTATACCTTTTTTTTTTTTAATTTCAAACAGAGTTTTCTTTCTTTGATCCTAATGATACATCATGCCAGGAAATTCTCTTTGATCCTAAAACTTCTGTATCAGAATTATTTGCCATTTTAAGACAGTGGGTTCCTCAGGTCCAGCAGAACATTGACATTATTGGAAATGAGGTAAGGAATTCCTACATTTTACATTTGGCATCATTGGGATTGTTAATTGTATAGGTGCTCCCCTTTGAACCCTGCCATCTGAACGGAAAGGTGGTGATACATGGGAAACCTTTGAAACATTCTGATGTTTATTCTTGTATCTCCAGGCTTTGCTCAGAGCAGTTGTACATTCTTTCCGTTGTTCCCTCATGCTCCTCATTTGCTGACACCTGGAGCTCTGACGTTATAGACTCTTGATGGCAGCAGGCATTTTCCATATTTCCTTTCTTTGTACAAATTAATTTTGTTAACTTTAAAAAATACACTCTATGAGGAGATTTGATTACCGACACGTTTTACCTATACTTTTGGGTGGTTTGGTAAAGATCTAGGCTTGAGTATAGTTTTTAAAAACATTTGATTTTTTGAAGGAGGGAAGCAAGAGTTACTGGGTTCCTTGACCTGCACATTGTCACATTGTAAGGAGAGAAAGGTTATGTATATATTTTCAAATGCCATTAAGCCCATTATAAAGAAAATTTTGCTGATCCTTTGAGAGGTTAAGTAAAGTACGTATCTGGAGTGCCAGGTTACCCTGGAATCGTCTTTAGGAATTTCCTTCAGTCTGCTGACAAGTTCAGTTTTCATCGTTGTTATTGGATGTAGATTTAAAGTTTGTCCTTGAGAGAAGCCCGTTCTCGATACTCATTTTATTGAGAACAAATTCCAATAAGATGGTCTAACCTGGTTCTCAGCATGGGTTTGAAATCGGCTTTCAGTGGCCATGTTATCATGATATCATCCTTGGTTTCCTCAGATTCTTAAGAGAGGTTGCAATGTGAATGACAGAGATGGATTGACAGATATGACACTTTTACATTATACTTGCAAATCTGGAGCTCATGGTATTGGTAAGTGTGTGGCAAACTTCTAGTGGCTTAAGACATCTGTATTTGTGTTTGTATAAGCTGTGTTTATGCCATCCACAGTCCCTGGGAGGGTACCCAGCTGATGATAACAATATCCCCTGAATAGGCAAGCATTCAGTGGGGCCTTCCCCAAAACCTTGTCCCCTTCCCTCCCTTTTCTCAGGGGGGCTTTATAGTCTCCTGGTACATCCCAGCCTGGTACGTCCGAGCAGGCTTCATTGCTGCATGCTCGCTAGGTGAGAGTAACCGGTAACACCCTAGAACCTTCCTGAGAGTTTACGGCACGGTTAGACAACCCAAGTTGTTTTCCAAGTATCCAGTCCCTACAGACCCCAGCCTTTAGGCCTGTCCGAGGGGTATTTGTATATACATAACATGTATGCACATTTTTCCCAGATTGGTGTTCCGTGCTTTTACCATTGTATAAAACCTGCCTCTATTACTTAACTATATATTGTGAGTCTCTGTCCCTGTTTCAATAGTCTGATATAGACTTCTTAAGCTGTTGATTAAGGACTTTTTTTTCTACAATCCATCATGGACTGATTCTTTTTGTAAAATAAAGTAAAAATGAAATTATAATAGAAAAATGAAATAGAGATATAAAATACAAGCCCACTTGTGTTTCATAATGCATGAAATTTTGATTAATTTATTCTGAAGAAATGATTGTATAGGGAAAAAGAAAAGAGTTATCAAAAGGACAGAGAAATTACAGTTTGGGACTGCTAGTGGTCCACAGAGCACACTGAGTAGGACTAATCTAGTGCATTGCCTTTTTTTTTTTTTTTTAAAGTAGACTTCACACCCAGCACAGAGCCCAATGTGGGGGTTGAACTTATGACCCTGAGATCATGGCCTGAGTGGAGATCAAGAGTCAGACACCTAACCGACTGTGCCACCCAGGCACCCCTAGTACATTGTTTTTAATGGCTTTGTATAAATATTCCATTATGTGGATGACTTATGATTTATTTAACCAGTTTCTTATTATTGTGCTTTTAGAACTTTATTTTAGAATAAAATTTATTATTTATTTGTAAAGTAGTTTAGTTTCAGAAATTTATTCGTGATAAAAAGTGCTGTGATGAACATCTTTATGGCTAAGTGTTTATCCATATCTCTGAGTATGATTATTTTCTTAGAATAAATTCCTTGTAAGTGAAATTTTTGAGGTGTATGTATATATTTGGTATGCTATTTACTTTGGCTTTTAAAATGAGGTACTAGATAGCCATCTATTGGAACTGCAGTTTGTACTGAAGAAGAATAATTTAGAAAACTTTCTTTAGGTGATGTTGATACAGCTGTAAAATTTGCAACTCAACTTATTGATCTGGGAGCAGATGTTAGTTTACGGAGTCGTTGGACAAATATGAATGCTTTGCATTATGCTGCTTATTTTGATGTCCCTGAGCTTATAAAAGTGATTTTGAAGACATCTAAACCAAAAGGCAAGTACTATAAGATCACCATTAGATGTTATTAGTTGAACACTTTATTAGTGGCATAAAAATTAAAATTCAAAGAGATTTGACTTCTAATCCATCTTGTTCCATATGACCTCCTATTCCACGTTTTCTCAGGAATAGTTTAATATTTCTATGTTGAAGGTTAATTACTGTCATTTCACAAAAGGCTTGGTACAAAGAGATACAAATTAAAAGTACAAAATAGTGTTCTCTGGGTTTTTATATCTGCAAATTCCCCAGTTTAACATGGATTTTATAAAGTGTAATTGAATCTATGTGCTATATAATTCTTTTCTCTTGAGTAGCCAGAAATAGAGCAATAAAGCTTTCAGAGCTAAGCATTGAAATCATAAAGAGTATTTTAGATGGCATTCGGTTCTGAAATTCTGTGATTCCACTAAAGGACACAATTTCAAGGGTTTTTTTTCCCCCTCACTCCTATCTTGATGGTGATACCCTAAAATTGAACATCAGAGTGTCTAAATTACAGTCCTGGTATTTTGACTTTTTCTCTGGTCCTCTCAAGTGGGTTGGTTTTCTTTTGAGAAAAAAAATGAGAGCATGTGCAGTAGTAATACTTAAAGTTGAAGGTGGGCGGGATACAGTGTTCTCCCCGTTTGTAGCAGACTTGTTCTATAGGTTCAACAGTTAAATTTCCCAGAATGTTTGTTTCTAACCTGCTTTGTATAATCATCCATTTTATCTTTAACTTTTACCTTTTAATTTTTGATTGATGTTGGGAAGAAGGGCCTCTTTTGGTAGTACAGTGTCTTGAATAACTCAGGAAGGTCTGTCCTGAGCATGTCTTGGTTGTTTGCCGTTGTTGGTAGGGCATGTGGGCTGGTACGGTTTAGGTTAAGGAAGGATGAGTGGAACCAAGTATTTAAAACCCTTGTTACAGAAAACATTCAAAATGGGATTTCCAAATCTGGAAGATTTCTTGTGTCTAAATATAGCATCTTGATGATTTATTGAAAGGTTATTAAAATGTCCTTAGAATTGCAAGATTCTTTTTTCCTACTATGAAGTCCAAATTCATTTGTTTGATGAAATATTTTGAATTAATATAATTTGCACACATTTGCATGTTTAATTAGTCTTTAACTTATTGCTGATTTGAAAATTCTGCATTATTTTACTTACTACTTTCCATGTAAAAGGCCAGATAGGAGTCTGGATCACTGGAACTACTTGATTCTGCAGTTATGGAAGGTGTCTTGCCATAGAGAATATGTAAAAATGTATGTGGCCATGTTCCAGTAAAACTTTATTTATAAAAACAGATGACGAGTTGTGCTTGGCCCCTGGGCCATTGTTTACTGGCTCCTGACGTAAACCCTTCTACCTCATTGTAGTTGTCATGGCACGTATGCAAGAGGTTAATGAGAGATTGTGTTCAGATACTTTTACAAATGTGAATTATTACCATTAACTTCTTTTAAATATAGTTTAGTTTGTGATAGTTGGAAAGTCTATGATAATATCAGTTCTTGTTGTAACGATATTTTATTGTACTAAGAAAATAATTGGTTGACCAGATTGTAACATGGAGATTGTATTTGTGAATGGTGATTACATATGTGATCACATAGGTGACAAATATGTGAAACGGTGCTTCTAGCAGGTTGGTTTAAGTCTCATTAAGTGGCTTATTAATGTTCTTCCCCCAACCAAAACAAGCAAACAGACAAACTCAGCCTGTCTCCTTTTATATTGTAATAGCTAAATCTAAGTTTTTAGTTAATATACGTGTGGTGTGTCATTGCAGATGTAGATGCCACTTGCAGTGACTTTAATTTTGGAACAGCTCTGCATATTGCTGCATATAACTTGTGTGCAAGTACCGTGAGATGCTTATTGGAACATGGAGCAAATCCTGCATTTAGGGTAAGAGACTAAATTAAAAGTGAAAAATATTAAAAGAGTTAAAATGTCTACTGTTATCTCCCAGTAAAGAGTTGTATCTGGATGTTGTTATAGAATATGTATGAGGAAAGAATTTAGATTTTTGTGCTGCGTATAAAGAGTAATGGTGATCAACTTTATCTCAAATAATTATAAGGCATAGCAGTGAATTTCAGTCCCCTTGTATTGGTAAGCTCTACAGAATTTCCTTTCATCAGTGAAGTAAAATGTACCTTAAAGTGTTACCATCTTTGAGTTTCAGTATCTTTCATTTAGTTTTTTGATGTATTTATAAAAAGTTAGCTATCAAAAATGCATATGTTAAAGTTATATTTCTATGTTAAATTATATTTCAAATTTTTTTGGAAAAGCATTCCAGAAAATTTGTAAAAATGCACATTTAGGAGTGGAGTAAATGTTTAAAAATTAAAGGGAAAATTAATTTTTTCATGGTAATTGTGTTACTAATTTACAAAGTTAACACACAGGATTGAATTTCATAATTTTCAAATCTTTGGTTATTTTATTGTCTTCACAGAGCAGCTCTCAGTGTTCTTTTTCTTAGTATTAACAGCAGTGACTTGCTTTGGTGGGGATTCTTAATGGGGTCTGTGCCTTCCCTTGAAGGGACAGGAGTGGGCAGTGTTTGAAAAAGTCTCTTCCCTCCCCCTTTTTCCTCTCCCCCCCCCTCCCTTTTCCTCTCGCCCTCCCCGCTTTCTTGTTTTCCTTCTCCCTACTTCTTTCTGCCACACTTTGTTTAATCCCATCTTTGATTAATTAACCCTTCTCCCCTCTTTCCTTCCCCCCCCCCACTCTCCCTTCCTCCTTCCCTGTTGTTTATTGGGCACTGGGAGAATACAACAATAAATAAAAGTTTTTGTCTCCAAAGAGAATATAGTCCAGAGGGGAGGATGGACAAGTAATTTTACTGTAGTGTGTTGCATTCAGTGGGTTATGATGCGGGAGTGGGCACAGAGTGCCATGGGGTCACGTACCAGGGGTATCTCTCTAAGCCTTGGGAAGGCTTTCTGGCAAAGGTGACATTGAGCACTTAAACATCATTAAGAAGTAACGGTTAGAGGAGGGAGGTGCGAAGAGCGGTTTAGGCAGAGAGGAGAGTAGCGTGCACGAAGGCTAGGAGTTGATTGTGCAGTTTGGTTGGAATGTGAGGGGGATGTGTGTGTGCTTTCCCTAGTACAACTGTTGACAAGACCTCATTAGTGGAGAGAATATTTTGAATTTAGTAAGAGGCAGTGAGGCATGCCATTGAGGTAGATTACCAATTCAAGCCAGAAATAATAATAGATTATTGTATTTTGAAGATTAATACTTAAAAAAAAAAAGCAGCCAACATGTGTGTCAGCAGTAGTCCCTGGCTCATACTGTGATAACCACAATTTTAGAAGAAAATGGATTTCTATAATTAATCATGAGCAAGCTTTCTTATGTTAGCATGACATCATCACTGTTATTTTATTATTATTTAGTATTTTTTAACAAGTTTTAGTTGCCACATTTTCTAGGAATTAATGTTAAGTGTGTGACTTACTCTAGAGAGGTGAGGACTTATAAATCTAAAGTAAAATAGTCATTGTAAATATAGTTTGCAGCTTATCAGTACGAGGTTTTAAAATATCCCCCCCCTTTTGTATCAAGAGTACATATTTGTGTTATACACACCTTTATTATATTTTGTATATTTTCTTTGAAATCTGGGATTAAAATAGACCCATCACCGTCTCAGCCATTTGGTAACAAGTCTTCCTACCATATGTTTACTTAAGACCAAACTGACTTGAATTTTAAAACAAAAAATGTGAGGCACTTGCAAACTAAGTGTGTTCTAAAAGCCTCATATTTTCACCCATACGGAGCATTTGAAGATAATCAGTAGAGAAGACAAGGAAAAGAAGTTTCTCAGCAAAAGAATCTTGATTCATCTTATTAGAAGAAGATTACAGTCTGGAAGCATGTTTATCGAATCCAAGTGTTTTGGTTAGGGAACACAGAAGAGAGATACATGTTTGAGGGAAGGATCGCCCTGAGTAGGAGAAATTCTCAACTGAGTCTAGCAGGTCCTAGACATGGATTCAAATGTCACCTCTGCCAGGAATCACGTAAATGACTTTGAGTGAGTCATTAATCTTTTCTCGCTGAATTTTCCTAATGGACAAAGTGGAAACAGTAGTAATATTCTGTGTGTTTAGTTGGTTTTTGTCTCTCCTACTACAGTAGAAACTCTCCATGGGCATGGATATTTTATCTGTTTTATTCGTAAGCTTTTTCTTGATGTGAGAATCAAATGAGCCAATTTATATGATAGGATTTGGTTATATAAACACCATGCAAATGTTAGTGGGCTCGTAACTGACCATTTTATCTTGTTGCAGGATAAATCCAAGGATGCAGTCTCTCCTTTATAGTGAGACCAGAGCTGTTTTCTTGATTATAGCCCAAATTTAGAAGTGTTGAAACTATAGTTTCTATTCCTGAAATCTGAGTCACTCCATGAGTGGGCAGGATGGGTCAGGTCACAGAGCCGAGGCGGTGGCTGTGGAATAGTGGGCAGAATCTCGGATCTGGGGTTGGGAAGCCAGTTGGTGCTGTGACTTCTGTCTCCAAACCTGCACAGCCAGGCATGCTGTCCACTCATGACCTCTGCATTTGCCCTTCCCCGAGCCTGGGCCGCCTTTCCCAACCGGCTACCCTGCATGGTACTCCCACACCTGACTCCTCGGGCCTCGGCGTCAGTGCGTCTTAGCGGTGCATCCTTCCCTGACCACTGTGCATGCATAGACACCGCTCTCCCGGTCTCCACCTCCTTTCCCTGAATTGTTTTTCTCTCTCTGCCACTTTTTACCATTTAAGATAATATATCCTTGACTTGTTTGATTGTTTGTAGTCTGTCTCTCCCACCAGAAGGTGTGCTTCTTGAGGGCAGGATTTTTTCTCCTCACTGTGGCGTCAGTAGCATTTAGAATGGTGTCTGGCATGTAGTAGATGTTCAGTAAATTGTCTGAATAAATATATGAGGAATGAGTTTAACTTAAATTTTTAAAAACTTTTTTTTTTTTTTTTTTTAATGTGTATGACCGTGTAGAGCTTTGGAGTAGATACGAATTGAAATTGTTCTCTTCTACTTGTAGAACGACAAAGGACAGATCCCTGCTGATGTTGTTCCAGACCCGGTTGAAATGCCATTAGAAATGGCCGATGCCGCAGCAACTGCTAAAGAAATCAAGCAGATGCTGTTAGATGCGGTGCCCCTGTCATGCGACATTTCAAAGCCCATGCTTCCAAGCTATGATCGTGTTACTAGCAAGGCGATGCTTGCATCACTCGGTCTGAAGTTGGGGGATCGTGTTGTTATTGCAGGACAGAAGGTATAGTAAGTAACTGTGGTCTCTAAAGCTGTGTCTCAGGTCATAGTGTTTGTGGCTTGGGTGCCAAAGGTATATACAGTGTGGCCAGAGTTGGGAGTTTTTTTTTTTTAAAAAGTGCATTGTGTAAGTAGAAGCATACTTAACGGAAGCTGTGAAGCTTAGATGCACGCTTACTATGAAGTATGATCTAAGAATATAAACGACTTGGACTTAGTGATGAAGATGTCTTTGCTGGAATGGGAGGGCTGGAGTACGGAAGAACTGTTGCGTGAATTCAGAGGCGTGAGCTGAGACACTGCTGAGTCCAGAGCTATCTCCTTGCAGCCCCCTGCAGTCTTCAGTGGGTTTTCCCACTGTGACTACCTGGCACAAATGGAACAAAGGAGACCCTTGCTGTTCATGGGTGTTTGGCCTTGAGATCCCATAAATAGAGAAATCTTGGATATTATTTTAACCTGATAATAAAAGTGTATGTGGAAAAGAGGACCTCCCCTCCTGGCCTACTGAAGATGCTCTAGATGCCTCTTTTTCTCCAAAGCCTCTGTTTCCTTTCAGCACTTACTTGTTGCCATTCTCTCTTTTCTAATACCTCATAAGGAAGGGCTGTTTCTTTTTCTTTTTCTTTTTTTCTTTAGCTTTGGGGTTAATGGGGAGCGTGGTATGAAGAATGGAACAGGGCATCCCTGCTTGCCTATCTAATTGCCTAACACAGTTATGTCTAAATATTTGGGTGGGCTTATGGGGAGGGTGACGCGGGTTCCTCAGAAAACACCAAAATCGGGAAGTTGGATTTCTTGAGCAAATTGTTTCAAAAAGGAAGGTAAACTACAAACAAATGATTATGTTGAGAAGGACATTTATCAACTTCCAAGAGAATGTATCCATGGGGCATTGGTTAGCTTTTATTATTATTATTTTTAACTTGGGATTAATATTCAGCCTCCTTAGTCTTCCTGTCTTATGCCTGAGAATGGGTGTTTAGAAGAGTTATTCTGTTGTTTTATTTTACCTTTAATTTTGGATAATTTAAAGCTATACAAAAGTAGAAGCATATAATGAGTGTGCATGTACCAGTCAGCTGGTTTAACTTGATCACTTCACGGCCATCCTGGCTGCCTTTATTCTTTCTCTCAGTTTGCTGCTTTGCTGCTTTGCTGCTTGTCTTTTTATCCTCTTAGGGATGTCTTTCAAGGAGCAGAAGTTTTTTTGTTTTTGTTTTTTTAAACGTTCATTTATTTTGAGAGAGAGAGAGAGAGTGAGGGGGTTGGAGCAGAGAGAGAGGGAGAATCCCAAGCAGGCTCAGAGCTGACAGGCTCTGATGTGGGGCTTCGTTCCATGAACTGAACCACGAGATCATGACCTGAGCTGGAATCAAGAGTTGGACACTCAGCCAACTGAGCCACCCAGGTGCCCCTCAAAGAGCAGAAGTTTTAAATTTTGATGAAGTCCATTTTATCAGCGTTTCCTTATATGGATTGTGTGTTTAGCATAGCTAAGAAACTTTCCACTATGTCATAGTACAGTAGAGGATAGAGCACATATGCTTTCTCCTAGAAGTTTATAGTTTTAGGTTTTACATTTAGTTTGTATTTAATTTTGAGTTAATTTTTGTGCAGAGGGCTAGGTATAGAGTTGCTTTCTCTCTTTTTTTGTGTTTGATTATCTGTTCCAGCACCATATTTTGACAAGACTGTTCTTTCTCTCTCGAATTGCCCTTGCCCGTTGGTCAATTGACCTTATGTGTATGGGTCTTTCTGGATTTTATTCTGTTCCATCGGTGCAATGATTATCCTTTCTTCAGTACTACCCTGTCTTAAGTGCTGTAGCTTTATAGTAAGTCTTGCAATCATTTGTTGTTAGGCCTTCAGTTTTGTTTTGTTTTTAGTTTCTTTGTCTTTCCATGTACATTGTAGAATCAGCTTATGGATTTAAAATCATACAGAAAGTCCTGCTGGGATTTTGAATAGAGTTGTGTTGACATAGATCAGTTGAGGAGAACGAATGTCTTAAAGATACTGAGTCTTTCAAACACAAGCACAGTATATCTCTATTTAATAGGTTTATTTCATCAGTTTTGTAGTTTTAAGCATTTAGATACTGCATATACCTTGTTACATTTATACCTAAATTTTTCATGATCTTTGGTGCTATTGTAAATGGTGGTGTTTTGGAAATTTCTTATAGAAATACAGTTGATTTTTGTATATGGACTATATATCCTGTAACCTTGCTCAATTTATGAATTCGAAATTTCTTATAGAAATACAGTTGATTTTTGTATATGGACCATATATCCTGTAACCTTGCCTAATTTATGAATTCTCTTGACCTTGTTTGTGGATTCTTTGGGATATCCTGTGGAAACAATCATGTTATCTGTGAATAGAGACAGTTTTCTTTCTTTCCAATCTGTATGCCTTTCATTTGTTTTTCTTGCCTAGTTTCATTGCCAAGGACCTCCAGTATAACGATGAGTAGAAGTAGTAAGAACTGATCAATTGTTCTGCTCCCCATCTGGAGGAGGAAGCACTCAGCATTAAGCACTCAGCATTAAGTACCATAATTGTTAGCTGTAGATTTTGTGAGTATCTTTTACTAAGTTGTGGAAGTTCCCATCTAATCCTGGTTTGCTGAAAGTTTTTAAAAAAAATTATTATTATCATGAAAGGATGTTGAAATTTGCCAAAGGCTTTTTCTGCATTTGTTGAGAGAATAAGTTTCTTCTATTTAGAAGTTTGTGGGTATGATGAATTATATTTATTAATTCTCAAATGTTGAACTAACCTTGCTTTCTTATGATAAACCTTACTTGGTCATGACACTGGATTTGATTTTCCATATATTGCTGGATTCTGTATATTGCTGGATTTGATTTGCTCTTGTTTTGTTGAGGATCCTTGTGTCTGCTTTTGGTATCAAGGGTAATGCTGGGAATGAGTTGAGAATTAGTCCTTCCACTTTTATATTCTATCTAGGTTTGTGTAGAATTGATTATTTTTTCCTCAAATTCTTGGGTAGAATTCACCAGTGAGTCCATCAGGTTCTGCAGGGTTTTTTTGTTTTGTTTTGTTTTGTTTTTGTGGAAGGTTTTAAACTATAAATTCAGTTCAGGTGTGAGCTTTGACAGTTTGCATCTTTTAAGGAATTGGAACATTTTATCTTATCTCATTCATTAAATTTACAGGTATAGGGTTGTTCATAGTATTTTCTTACTATTATTTTTTAATGTTTATTTATTTTTGAGAGAGAAAGAGAGTGTGCACACCAGTGGGGGAGGGACAGAGGGAGAGGAGAACAGAGGATCCAAAGCAGACTCTGTGCTGACAGCAGAGAGTCTGATGTGGCATTCCAACCCATGAACCCCGGGAGATCATGACCTGAGCTGAAGTCGGCTGCTTGACTGAGCCACCCAGGTGCCCCCTTTCTTACTATTCTTTAAATGACTGAGGGGGTGTAACAGTGTCCTGCTTTCATTCATGATGTTTGCAGTTTGTGTCCTCTCTTATTTTTCTCTTGGTCTCTAGCTAGAAGTTTATTAATCTTATTTATCCTTACAGATAACCGGCTTTTGGTTTCATTGATATTCTTTATTATTTTTCTGTTCTTAATTTCTTATCTTTATCGTTTCTTTCCTTTGGCTTGCTTTGTGTCTTCACTTTCTAGTTTTTTAAAATGGAAGTTTAGATCATTGATTTGAGGCCTTTTCTAACACCAGTGTTTAATGCTATGGATTTCCCTCTAAGCACTGCTTTTGTTGCATCCCACAAATTTTCATGTATCATGTTATCATTTTCACTCAATTCAAAGTGTTTTTAAATTCCCTTGCGATTTTCTCTTTCACCGTGGGCTATTTGGGAGTATATTGTTTAATTTCCAAATATTTGGAGATTTTCCAAGATCGGTTGTTGGGTGCATACAGATTTAGGATTCTTGTGTCTTTTTGGTGACTTGACTGTTATAATTATATAATATTTCCTTTTGTCCCTGGTAATATTACTGTTCTGAAGTCTGCTTTGAGAGAATAGTTTTTAAAAACTTCTATAAAATTTGCAAGAGTAGCACATTTAGAGTTACTAGTAATCCTCAAAATGTATTCTGATTTATGTTTTCTTTAGGTTGGAACATTAAGATTTTGTGGAACAACTGAATTTGCAAGTGGGCACTGGGCTGGCATTGAGTTGGATGAACCAGAAGGAAAAAACAATGGAAGTGTTGGGAAAATCCAGTACTTTAAATGTGCCCCCAAATATGGTAAGGGAGATACAGTCTAACTTAATGAGAATTAGTTTAAGATAATCAGATTTACTCTTTTATGGCTTTTAAATAAAACTTTCCTATGTAGTAAATGAAGGGGCTGCCCTGTTCTTGCTATGAGCAGTACATTGATTGGGAGATGATGTCTCACCAGGAGTACACCCGGCTCTCTGCACCTCCGTCGGTCCTGCCCAGGGTACTCTCAAGGCTGAGGAAGGGACTTCGTTATCAAGGAAGTGCAGAGCTCTGGAGGTGGAAAAGCTTGAAAACTTCGAATAGCAAACGAGGCCAACTTTATAACTGTACTGCTGAGACGGGATGATTCTTTCTCTTTCTGACAGATGTTTGTTTAAATTCACATTCTCTCTCTCTCTGTCACACACACACACACACACACACACACACACACACACACACCCCTTGACATATTGAATTGAATTTGTCACTTACTATTTTGTGAATATTTTTCCTTGCCATGAAATATTCTTCTAGAACATTAATTTCCTTGGTTGTTCAGTATTTCATATCAGCTCCACAAGGAGGCACTATGATTTAATGCTGAAGTCCTTGCTTAGAGTCTGACTGCTTGGGTACGAATCAGTTTCCCTACCTACCAGCTGTGTGACCTTAATTCTCTTTTTGTGCCTCAGTTTGTCTTCAGTAAATGGGGCTAACAATACCTCAAGAGTTTGTATGATAAATATATAAAGCACCTTGAATAGTGCTTGATTCCCTCTTAGTACTCAACAAATGGTAGCTATTTGCTAACTGTTATGCATTTATCAAAGTTACTAGTTTTCTTTTGTCATACACTTAAAATGGAGCATCATTTTTTGGTGGATTATTAATTTTTTTTCTTTATAAAACTGTTTTTTGTATAAAATTTGAAAAATATAAAAAAGGTTAAAAGAAGAAGATAAAATCACCGATATATTTCCATTTAATCCTTTTCATGAAATTTGGATTATATAGTTATATGTATTTTACATTTTTACTTGACATGCTATTATAATTAAAAAAATTTTTTTTAATCTTTATTTTTGAGAGAGGGACAGAGTGTGAGCGGGGGAGGAGCTGAGGGGAGGGAGATACAGAATCAGAAGAAGGCTCCAGGGCCTGAGCTGTCAGCACAGAGCCCAATGCAGGGCCCAAACTCACGAACCATGAGATCATGACTTGAGCTGATGTCGGACACTTAACCGACTGAGCCACCCAGGCGCCCCAAAATGCTATTATAATTTACCCAAATCATTAAATATTGTTAGAAAATGTGATTTTTTAATGGCTCCATTTTCTTTAATTTTTCCAATATGATGGCTGAAAGTTTCTTTTTTTTTTTTTTTTTTTTTTTTTTTTTAATTTTTTTTTTAACGTTTATTTATTTTTGGGACAGAGAGAGACAGAGCATGAATGGGGGAGGGGCAGAGAGAGAGGGAGACACAGAATCGGAAGCAGCTCCAGGCTCTGAGCCATCAGCCCAGAGCCCGACGCGGGGCTCGAACTCACGGACCGTGAGATTGTGACCTGAGCCGAAGTCGGACGCTTAACCGACTGAGCCACCCAGGCGCCCCGATGGCTGAAAGTTTCTATGTTTGAATTCATATTTCTTCGATTGTGGTGAAAATGTTTTATTGTGATACATACACACACACACACAGTGTCATCCTGGCAATTGCCCAGAAATACTTGTTCGTATTACTTACTAAATGATTGAGATTGAGATATTAGTGGGTTTTTAAAAACTTTAGAAACACAAATACATACTTAAGATATTAAATTCTCACAGTTATTACAGATGTTTTGCCCAGTTTTTCATTTGCCTTTGAACTTCATTTGCAGTGTTTTGGCACAGAGTTTTATGTAGTTAAGACTTTTTCTTTATAACTTCTTACATTGCTTTTATGCTTAGATACTTCTTCCTAATCCAAGGATTAATTTAAAATTATATATTTTATTCTTTTGAATGTTTTAATTTTTTACGCTGAGTTATTTAACCCATTTGGAATGTATTTGGTTAGTTGGGTGGAGTTAAGAATTTAATTTTAATTTTCCTCTGTTAGCTAATTTTGGTAACTGTCAAACAGACTGAAGGCAAGAGCAAAACTGCTAGCAACCTACAGGGCAGATGTCAGTCAGGTTCCTGGGAAATGCTTTGATTGTAACAGAATGCATGTTGCCCCCAGATCTCATCATCCCAAGGAGAGGCATGTTTGATGAGGACAAAGCTGGATACCCCAAGGACCTGCTTCTGTCCCTTTTACATGCTTAAAGGGGAGTTTTGGGCAGGGCAATGATCATGTGTTGGATTTAAAAATAGGGTTACCCTAAGAAGCCGAAGAACCCTAAGCAGAAGCCGAAGAATTTGTCTCTTCTCAGCAACAGTTATTATTATTTTTTCTCCCCTCTTAACTCTTATCAGTTTTCCTCTGGCTTGTGCTTCCTTCATTATAAATTAAGTTCTTATAAATGCTATCATCAGTTTCAGGATTTTTTGTTCAACTGATCTGTTCATTCTAGCATATATTAGATTTTTTATTTTTATTTTATTAAAAAAACTTTTAAAAATATTTATTTTTGAGAGAGAGAGAAAGAGATAGAGAGAGATAGAGCGAGCACAAGCAGGGAAGGGGCAGAGACAGACGGAGACACAGAATCTGAAGCAGGCTCCAGGCTCTGAGCTGTCAGCACAGAGCGTGACATGAGGCTTAAACTCACGAGCCATGAGATCATGACCTGAGCTGAAGTTGGATGCTTAACTGATTGAGCCACCCAGGTGCCCCTAGATTTTTTAAATTGTAGAAATTTTATAATAATTTTTGAGACCTTTTTTTAGAGCAATTTAGGTTCAAAACAAAATTGAGACGAAGGTGCTGGATTTTCCTGTGTATCCCCTGTTCCCATGCATGTGTGGCCACCCCCCATTACCAGCATCCCTTCATCAGAGGCTACGTTTCTTAAAATAGATGAACCTGCACCGACTTTTCATCATCACTCAAAGCCCATAGTTTCCACTGGGGTTCACTTCTTGTGTGGTACATTCTGTGGGTTTGGACAAATGTTTAGTGACATGTCTCTATCATTACAGTATCATACAGAGTGTTTTCACCTTCCTAAAAATCCTCTGTGCTCCGCCTGTTCATCCCTTCCCCTCCCTCAATGCCTGGTAACCACTGATCTTTTTACTGTCTTCTTAGTTTTGTCTTTTCCAGAATGTCATATCATTGGGATTTTACAATATGAACGTGGCGTCTTCAGAGTGGCTTCTTTCACTGAGTAACTTGCATTTAAGTTTCCTCCATGTCTTTTTATGGCTTCCTAGTTTATGCCTTGTTAGCGCTGAATTAATATTCCATTGTCTGGATATATTGCAATTTATTTACCCATTCATCTACTAAAGGATATCTTGTTTGCTTCTAAGTTTTGGCAATTATGAAAATTTTATAATAAATTTTAATACTTAGCAAAACTGGGGTGCCTGGGTGGCTCAGTTGGTTAAGCACTGACTCTTGTTTTCAGTTCAGGTCAGATCTCATGGTTTGTGAGGTTGAGTCCCACATTGGGCTCTGCACTGACAGCGTGGAGCCTGCTTGGGATTCTCTGTCTCCCTGTCTCTCAGCTTCTCTCTCTCTCTCTCTCTCTCTCAAAAATAAATAAATAAACATTAAAAAAATACTTGGTAATACCATTTTTATGTATTTTAATAAGTTTAATAATTACCAAAATGAATACATGTACCTAGTTCAGTAAGTCAAATTGTATCATAAAGTTTATTAAAAACATTAGTTAAATCCTTCCCTGGCTTGCCCTTCCCTGACCCTGAGTCCTGCTCTTTAGAGGCAGGAACAATTTCAACTTCTTTGGTTGTATCTTCTGATATTAGTATTTATATTTATAAATAAAATCTCCTGATTTTTCCAATTTTATTCATTTATGTATGTATGTATGTATGTATGTATGTATGTATGTATGTATTCCTTCCTTCCTTAAGATTTTATTTTTATATAATCTCCATGTGTAATGTGAGGCTTGAACTCACAACCCCAAGAACAAGAGTTGCATGCTCTACTGACTAGGCCAGACAGGTGCCCTTGATTTTTCCAATTTTAGACATTTATTGACTTTATACTCTGAGGAAAGAGTTTTTTTCTTTATTATTCTAAGTCAGTTTTTTTCTCAGTTTACTTATTTGTTTTGGCAGAGCACATCCTTCAGTAGCTTTTTGACAAAAGTTGTGTCCATCCTAAAAATTTTTTTGAAACCTTCCATCCTAAAAATATGTTTATTCCTACTCTCACACTTTATATGATTGTTTGACGGGATAAGAAATGTCAGGTTGGAACTGATATTCTTTCAGTATTTAGAAAATTATACTCTATTGTCTGATGGAGTTTGGCAGACTTTTTCTGTAAAAGGCCCGAGTAAATATTTTAGGCTTTGAGGGCCACCCAGTGTCTTGTTTGCAGTATTCAGCTGCCCTGTTGTAGTGAAGAAGCAGCTGTGGACAGTGTGTGAACACATGGGCGTGGGTGTGTTCAAACAGAACTTTACAAAAATAGGTGGCAGGTGGGATGTGGCTCCTGGGCCATTGGCTCGTCAGCTATTATCTTGAGCTTCCAGTGTTGCTGTGGGGAAGTTTCAAAATCTTTCTTCTGTTTTTGACTCCCTCCCCCTCCCCCCCTTTGGAAGCTTCTTTGGAAGCTTTTGGTATTTTTTCTCCTTTTTATCATTTCTTTTTTCTTTAGAGTTTGTTTCATTTTTATTCCTTGCTAATATTTCAGTGGAGTTTTGGCAGGAGTTGTGGTAAAACAAAACGGGCCATGTTGATCTAGAAACCTATTACTCTTCTGTTTAAAAATAATTCTTCCTAAAAAAAATAATTCTTCCTACGTGTTCACTGTAGTTAAGTTTTACAGTTATATGTTGAGATTTGGGAAAAAATCCCACCAGTATTTTGATTAGCGTGAGTTACTGAATAGATATATCAGCCCATATTGTGTGTGCATTGTGGGCTTTGGTTGCATCCAGTCATGGCTTTACATTTATTTTGGTTCTCCCAAATGATCTATTCCATTAGAGAAAACTGGAAGAATGAGAACTATATAGGTGAGGTTTTATATGCTATAAAAATCTATTAAAGCAATGGAATTAAATATTTTTTTAAAAGTATTATGTGAAATAATATGATGTGGAAATTTTCTACTAAGACCTTGGAAGAAAAAGCATATAACTTTCCTCAGATTGAGAAAAAACCACCCATTAAGCAACATTATTATGGTATTAATGACAAATTTAAAAGATAACTCATAGTCTGAGTGCTCTCATAAGTATGTTTCGGTTTTTAGTTTTTTACAGTCTTTCTTATATCCACACATAACATTTTTTTCAGATAAAACCATAGCATAATCAAACATGTAACTTCATGTTTATTTACTTGATTTAATTTTCATACTTTTCTGTATTTCTTTACAATTTGTATTATTTTACTTCTTGATGGTGATGTAATAGTTCATTGCCAAATAATCGTTTTCTCCTACTTATGAATAGAATTGCATTGATGACACATTCAGATACAGTCTTTTCCTCACATTTGGATTTTTTTTGGTGATTAATTTCCAAAAGTATAATTGGATCATAGCAGTAAACTAGAAATTGTTTTGGCTTCACAAATCTATCGATATTTTTCCTTATACGAATGTAACTTTTGTAACCTTTGTGATCATCTTTAAGTATAAATATTTCTTTATAATTAATGCCACAAAGAGGATTAGGTCAGAATTTTTGTCTTCCATTAATATTGTACAAATTTACATTTCTGGAGTATAAAATAATTTCTGTCTTCCAACCCTTGGCAATTGGATGTAGTTATCACACTGTAGTGTGTGTGTGTGTGTGTGTGTGTGTGTGTGTATTTGGCAAGGAAAAGAGTTTAGAGAAAAGGATAGAAACTCAAGGAAAATATGCTAGGTGGGAGACAGAAGAGAGAACATTGTGGAGAAGTCAGAAGAGAGTAAAATCAGGAGAAAGTAATATAAAATCCCAAGGAGGAAAGCATTTCATGATTAGTGGAAAAGGCATACAGTTAGCACTTTTTGGTTATTAACAAAACACTCACTTTTGGTAGTCTTGAGCATTTCTACAGACCCATTTTAAAAAAAGTTATTTTTAATGTACATATTACATTTTGGTCACAGTATGTCTTTATTAGATTGTAAACACCCGATGGAAGAGTGTGATATACATATTATGACTTTTTTTATCATTTAAAATGTCTTAGCCAGATAATCTTTGTATTTGTAGTCTATACACTATCTCTAATGTCTATGCATACTTATTTATACTGGATATTTCACTGCCTGGATAAACTCCTCTTTTTTAAATGGAATTTTATACTCTGAGCTGCTGCAGATCCGCAGGCCCTCCCTCTGTCCCCACATGCCTCCCCTCCCAAGCACGCACTGTGCTGTTTATGATTGTCAGGAGCTGAGGGCTAGGCCTTTTGGGAAGATTATATTTTGTACTGGAGAGTATTTTTTATATCCCTACTATGTGTAAGGCACTGAAATTAGGTACAGTGGGGAAATGCAGAAATGAATAATGTTTGAATTTCATCTTCCAAAGGTGTACAGCCTGGTAGAGAAATAGAACAAGGGCATAAAAAGCTGTCGTGTGGGGAAAATATGTCCTAAAGGAGACACAAAGTGACACAGATGAATAGTTTGTATGCTCTGAAGTGCACTATTATTTGCCAGTAGCCTAGTCAGAAATCGTTATGATGGAATGATGGACAAGTATTACCTTCACTCATTTCTCTTTTCCCTGAATTTCACTTAATACCTGATAATGCATCTTTTATGTGATTTTTAAATTACTGTGTATGTTGTTCATCTCGACAACTAGATTGTAAGCTCTCTGAGGGTAAGTGTTGTGTCTTTCTTTTTCCTGTCTCTCCCTACAGGATTCCCGGTAGGCACTAAAAAAGAACTTAAACATTTATATTATCAAATGGTTGTACTTGCCCCTTTATTGGAAATGCTTTTAATTGTTTAGCACTAACTCAAGCTCTACGTTCCTCCCTTAGGTATATTTGCACCTCTTTCAAAGATCAGTAAAGCAAAAGATCGAAGGAAGAATACAGTACACACCTCTGCAAAAGCTGTGCCTCTTATCAGGTCCCAGAAAATTGATGTAGCTCATGTAACGTCCAAAGTAAATACTGGTAGGTCAAGCCAGAAAGTTAAATCTTTTATTCAGCATATTTCTTTCTTTTGTGGAATGCCTTATATTTAGCTTGCTTCACCCTTTTTTGTTAGATAATTTGTTTGAATTTAATAAAACCCACATCTCACGTGGTTTTAAACATCAGTCATGGTTTATGATTTCGATTCCTGACAACAATACTATACATTTGTTCCTTTCTTTCCTACCACCCGCAAACCTTCATCACTGGCTAATGTAACCTCCAAGCTAGATTTTATACCTCCAGTAGATCCTTATAAACATAACTAGCTTTATGTTTCTCACCTATTCAAGAATTTTAGTGCCTTCTCTTTTAATCAGAAAATATTCTGACTCTGAGTCCTTCCTGTATTCGATGGGATCTCTGGCTGCCTCCATAGGTGAACTGTGGTTTCATGTCTCACTGTCTTGTGCATATGTTGTCTTCCTTCTTCCCTCCATACTTTGTCTCGTGCTGCTTCTCTGGGTGAAGTAATTTGACTCATGCCTTTTGAGGTCCTGGATGTGCTTTACCTCTTTATTCAGATGCTGTTTCTCCAAGAAAACTTCGCTGATGACCCAGATCACTTTGGTGTCTCCATTCTCTCTAATTCTGTGTACACTTGTATCCATACCACACAATTCTTTGTTATCTTGGGTCTTTTCCTCCAGTTGCTTTATTTGTGCAGATCTTTTATTCTTTCAGCAAAATTTTAAACTTTAAATGGGCTATGAGAGTGTTTTGTACTTTCGTATTCACGGTAGTAGTACATAGCACAAAATAGACCCTTGGTAAGTACTTGCTAACTTATCAGTGGCTGAAGCAGAAAGGCTTTCTACTGTGATTAAGGGATTTTGCCCAAGAATTTGGTTGGCCTTTATACTCTCTTCCATTGAGCTATTTAAATATCTCTGTGTCAGTAGTGGACTTCATAACTAGTAAAAACATAAATCGTGATATCTAGTAAAGGAAAGCTTCCTACCTTATTCTTGAACAGTGTCTTGCCTATTTGGATCCTTGTAAGTCATACTTCCATATAAATTTTAGAGTTAGCTATTAAGTTTATTTTAAAAAATATCTGCTGAAGTTTTATTGGTTTTGCATTTTAAACCATAAGTCAGTTTGGGAAGAACTGACATCTTTACAATATTCAGTCTTTTAATTATAAGCTTGGGATATTGCTTTATTTAATTGGGTCCTTTAAAAATATCTCAGGAAGGTTTTATAATTTTCTCTATAGCTATCTTGTACCAGTTTTGTTAGGTCTGTTCCTGGGTACTTCATACTTTTTGATGCACTTGTAAATGGTATCCTTTAAACCTGAAACCCAGAAGTTCACAGCCATTATGGGAAGAAAGCCCAAAGAGAAGCCCTGGGGGTCCCCTACTAGACAGAAAATGGAGGAAATCCCTTTTTTAAAAAAGATAGATTTTTTTTTTATATTCCTTTGGTTCTTTCCCTCTCCAGTCCCTAGGCAGTCCTTCACGGTGCAGTAGCAGCTGTGGGTGGCTGGGTACCAGAAACCCCAAGGGAGGAAGACCCTTCTCTCTCACCAGAGAAACTGTGGTTCCAGGAATAGGGATGGAATCTCTCCAATAGTTTGTCTTTTTACTCACTGCTTGTCCCCAAAGGCAGAGTCAGTCCCCAGAGACTGTATGACAGAGCAAGGGAACTAAAGCCTAGGCACCCTGCCCTGATACCAGGAAGGGGTGCTTCCAGGAGCAGGAAAGTGTCAGGGAGACTGTGGAGAGGAGGGAGCTCAAGAAAGTGGTCTCAAAATGTTGGCTGTGAACTCCTGGGCTTACTCTCAACTTGTACACGTGTGGATCTGACCACGGGCTTTGGTCTCCAGGGTAGACCACTGCCCAGGTCCCAGACACTACTGGATGGCACAACCTTTGAGAAGGATCCCAAAAGGCTTTGGAAACTGAACTGGCATTGGAAGCACAGCGTCCAGAAGGTGGGAGGGATGGCCAGCCTGAACCTAACTGGGTTGAGTCCTTGCTAAAACAAAATGGTAAACATTCTGCATAGGATTTAAACAAGATCCAGAGTCCCACAACATAATGTATTTAAAATGTACAGGATGCAATCTAAAATTGCTCAAAATACGAAAAACCAGGAAAATCTCAACATCTGTTAAGGAAAAAGATAATCAAAGGTTGCCAACCCTGACATGACACAGACATGACACAGATAAAGGCTTTAAATAATATATTATAACCATCCTCTATGAATTAAGGTTAATTCTTGAAACAAGTGGAAAGAAAGTTCAGAGGAATGAGGATGTGAAAAAGAACCAAGCGATGTGTGAGCATGGGCACATGCGCACACACTAATGAGTGTGGTTAAAACTGGGGTGCCCCAGGATTCATGGATTGTATCAATGTTGGTATCCTGGCTACATTTGGGGAAATTAGGCAAAGTATGCAAGAGATCTCCCTGTATTACTCATACAACTACATGCGAATCTCCAGAAATCTCAATTCAAAAATTCAGATAACAGGGGCACCTGCGTGGCTCAGTTGGTTAAGTGTCCGACTTTGGCTTAGGTCATCATCTCATGGTTCATGAGTTCAAGCCCTGTGTTGGGCTCTGTACTGACAGAGCAGAGCCTGGAGCCTGCTTCAGATTCTGTGTCTCCCTCTCTCTGCCCCTCCCCGGCGTGCTTGCTCAAGAAATAAACATTAAAACTAGTTCAAATAAGGAAGGGCCAAATGGATATTTTAAAACTGAAAAATAAGAAATGAACTCTCTGTGGGGTGCTTGCACAAAGTCTCTGTTACCCACCCCTCTGTTCAGTTCCTGCTGTTGTCCTTCTGGTCCTCGTTCTACCTGTTGTAGTAACTCCTCTCTGGTCTGTGCTTCCTGTCTCTGCCCATCCAGTTTCCTTCTAAATTTTGCTGCCAGGGTGACAGCGTTCCCCCATCTGTTCATGCCAGCCCTCTTTCACGCAAAGTCCATCAGAGGCTCATTCCTTCCACAAGAGGACTGATTCCTTATCTGGCACCATCGTCCCTTGAGATTTCACTCTGACCTATCTATCCAGTCTTACTTCTTCCATATCCCAAAGTGTTCTTTATTCCAGCCAAGCTACTTATCCTCTCTGACCCTGTCTCTTAAGATTTTTTTCTTTTTGTCCATCTAGAATGCCTACCTTCAATTCTTTCTGACCATCCCTCCACTGTGCTCTGGAAGAAGTCTTACCTGTCCTTCAAGACCTATCTCAGAATGTCATCTTCTCGAGACATTAATTTATCTTTGTAGCCATGATTATTGTCTCCCTTTTCTATGTTAGCGCTTATCAATAAATGCCCTCATATTTTAGTTATTTAGTTATCCATGCTCCCTATCTATCTACCATACTGGATTGAAAAGATTCTTTCAGGCTGAGACCAGGTCTTGCTCATGTTTGTGATGCTCAGAGTATAGTTCCTCACTCCAGTGCTTCCTAAGTGAGAAGAACTGAAATGGATGCTTAATGGAATTTAGAACTGGGTGCGGTCTATTAGGTTTCCTATTTAAACAGTTTGGTTCTGGAGAATGGAAACAGAAGTCTGAATAAGGCGAAGTATTATTCATGAGCTTTTTCTTTTTTAAAGTGAGTTTGTTTGTGAGACTTGGGTGTGGTGATAGTTATCTTCAGAGCACCCAGGGCAGAGAGTGGGGGGTTTCTTACTGTCTGACATTCACTTTGATGAATAGTGGCTATCATGATTTGCAAAAATTTTTACCCAGAGTTCACTATCTAAATAGAAAATCTGTTGTAATGGGTTTGCGCGCATATGAGTGAAGTCTGTAAGTTGTTTGCAAGTCCTAGTGGGTGGGTGGGTGGCGGTGGTGCTTCAGCTGTGAGGTTCACTCTACCTGCTGGCATTGTGCAGACACACTACTGAGTGTGCAAAGTGTCAAACAACTAGGCACCTGTGCTTTAAATGTTTTACTGTATTTAGAATTCCTTAGTGGATTGTTAAATAGGTTTAAAAGAGACTTTAGTGGTATTTGAGGAAATTGGGTTTTTCAGATGGAGAGGCTAAGAATGCGTTTTTTCCCCTCTTTATGTATTGAAATATTGGTCCCTGCTGTCTGCGAATTGATTATCCAACATATTTTCAGAAGTGGATAAGATTTAGATAATGAGGGATGTCTGTACACAAAAAAGCAAATACATTTTCATGTTTAATGTTAAAGTTCTTGCTGAAAGTGTTTGTTTTTATGTGGTAGGATTAATGACCTCCAAAAAAGATAGTGCTTCTGAATCAACACTTTCATTGCCTCCTGGTGAAGAATCAAAACCTGTAACAGACAAAGAGGGTAAGATAATTTTATAACTTCCATTCTAAAAATTTAATTTACTGATGGAACTTTAAAATAATACAGTGATAAAGCTTATAAAGGGCTAAGTTTTAAAGTTTTTAAGGAAAAAATCTTTATAGTAGAAAATCATCCTTGAAAATACCTTCAGCAGCTCGTCATAAAGTATATACGTGGTTTTGGCATAAAATCCTATACTGTGTATCCACGTACACTTAAATTAGAGAGCAATCCGATTAGATTAAGAGGGAGACTGAAAGAAAATTCCCCAGTATAGATGGCTTCATAAGAATGTTTCAAAGTTGCCTTCAGCTGTCAAATCATTGGGTGAATAGAGCATGGGTAGAAAATTCAAGAGTATTCCTGCTTGCCTTCATTAACTCAAAACATTTTAATACTATCTTTTTGTAACCTTAAATTAATAGCATTTTAAAATATAAATAGGATGGATTCTACTAAGCCATCTAAAGTGGGAGGTGAGAGAGAGTGGTGGGTAGAATAGGTAAGTAGTCACCTTCAGTTAATGATGTGACAGTACTCTTCTGTGAAAGAGTGTCCTCGTCCGGCGTGAATCATTAAAATACAGTTGCTTGGGTTATAAAGTCTTGTCTGTATGAACTACCGTATGTTTGGATGAAACCGGGCATTTAATTCAACATTGGATAATCCACAGAGGAAGCTAAATGGAGGGTTTCAGAGGGATTTACCTGGAAAAGCATCTTAGTGGCTCATTTCTTACTTTTCACCCTTCTCTGTGTTCTTTTCCTTTACCTGTTTTAGTTACCCTGCTTGGATCCGTCAGCAGCTCCTCCTCTACATCGTCTTTGGAACACAAACCAAGCTACCCCAAGAAGCTGAATGCACGTAGCAATGGCAAGAAGACAGTGAGCAAAAGCCCATCTGTCTCCTCTAGAGCCAGTGCTGGTATCTATGGCTTTTTCAACCAGGCTTTCTTGGTGTTTTTTATCTTGGTTTGTTTGTAAGTAGATTTGCTCTTTTTAAATGTGTAGAAGGAAACTTTTACTTCAGTCAGATTGAACTACTTGTCCTCTTCTGTCTTTCCCGTGGCCCCCACCCCTCTCCCCTTCGTGGGCATCCTCTGTCTCCCTGCCTTTCTCCCGGTGCCCCTGCCACTTCCCTTATCTGGACTGACTTCTTCCCTTTCCGATGCATCTAATGCCTTTGGCTCTTTAAGGGCTATTTTAGAACTTTATGATAGCTCCTCAAATATGTGGAAACCGTATGGTTATTATCTTTCTTACTTCTTTTCTAATCTAGACCTAACAATAACTAATGTGGATTGTATACTTATTATTTCAGGTTCTAGTCTAAGCCTTTTACACACCTTATTTCACTTAATTCTCAGAACAAACCTGTGGGTAGGTACTATTATTATCATCCTCATTTTATGAATGAGGAAACCGAGACTTAGGGAGGTAAGTCTTCGGTGCCTGATGGCGGTTTCTAAGTGGGACGCCCGGGCTTCATCCTGAGGTCCGTCTGATGCTTTCTCTGCTGCTGTTATGGTTTGCCTCCATCCCAGCTCTTCCTCATGCTCCCGGGTCTCCAGACCCCTGGCGGTCAGCCTGTAGAGAGCTGGACTGCCGCCTGGCAGCATAAGTACAGTGTAGGGCTGCTCCTGCAGTTTGCTGACCACACGGTGTCATTGGCTCAGACGGAGCCTTATGCTGGCGCTCTTCATTCTGCTGCTCCATATAGGGCTGTACATGTATTTTCATGCAATTTAATGTTAGAGGTTTTATCCCTCTGAATTTGGTTTCATACATCTGGAATATTAGCTTTTTCACCTACTTTTGTGTCATCTGAGTATATAAAGTTCGAGTCCTTGTTTAAAACTATGTACGAGAGGGTCAGAGGCTCTCCTGACAGGTTGACTGTTGTGTTGGGGCTTTTTTTTCTTTTAAATGTTTATTTATTTTTGAGAGAGAGAAAGAATGAGACAGAGCAGGAGCAGGGGAGAAGCAGAGAGAGAGGGAGAAACAGAATCTGAAGCAGGCTCTAGGCTCTGAGCTGTCAGCACAGAGCCTGATGTAGGGCTCAAACTCACAAACTGTGAGATCGTGACCTGAGCTGAAGTCAACCACTGAGCCACCCAAGTACCCCTGATGGGGCTTTTTAACTCGCCCTGAGTCCTGCCCAACCTCGTGCGGCCCATAGTTCTCCAGCTGCGAGTGAGCATATAGAAAACACTTCATAGCTGACTTCTTGCCCAAATCAGCATATATGGAATATGTTGCAGTTCACTTATTTACCTACATAGCAACCTCGTCCAGAAAGGAAATGAAGTCATTTTGGCATAAATTGTTTTCAGTGAACCTCATAATAGTTCCCAGATTCTCTTTCGAATGCTTGTTAACAGTTGTACTGAACCAATATTTTATTATAGAAAATGTTGATGACGGGATTTTTTCTCTTTAAAATACTGATTGTACGTGGTGGGGAGGGGCCCTCAGCAGTAGCACTGGCATAACACACCTACAAGCTGAAACTGTAAAAGCAGAGAACCTAGAAGTTTTGCCTGAAATTGTTCACCTGGAACCTGTATTCTCTGAGTAGATGCTCTTTCCCTTTTAAGCCGTTTCTGCCCAGCCCTCTGAGGAACAGAGGTGAGAGGACCGGGCATGCAGCTGTCCCGCTGCCCTCGTTTTAGTCACATTCATAGAAGGCCTTCTTCACTTGGGATTTGGGTTTTTGAATTACCCTTTTTGCCTGTTACAAGAAGTAGCTCCAGTGTGCCTACTTATTTAATGTTTTTCCCCTCTTTATAAATTTGAGTGGTATGTAGGCTTAGATAATAGTAGATGAAAAGAGTTGTCAACTGGAATGAGAAAGAGGAACTTGTAGGAAGGGAGGCAGAGAGAATAGGAGATCCATGAGAGAAACCCATGTTGGGGACCCCAGGAACATTTCCCCAGGACACTTTCCTAGAGTGAGTAGATATTTCACTTTCCTGTAGGCTTGCATTTGAGGGGTGCGGACGTACGGGGAAGTTAGGGTACAGGGGAGCAGAAGGAGCAGACCAGGGGAATGGCAGGGGTAGGGGAGGAAGTCTGTGTTTTTAACGTCATTGTATCCCGTTGTTGAATGTGCTGTCCTTGGGCCATGAAATAGCCTGGGGACCCACCCGGGAACTTGGGCCCACTGTAGGGCCCGGCCTTTAATCCTGGTATGCCCTTGACTACCTGGGAACACCATGTCTTAGTTAGTTTCTGAGTTTGTATCTTATCTATAATTATAATTCTACGAAGAGCACTTTGTAAACTGTGAAGTGCTGTAGAAATATTAGTTATTATGAGGGCCTAAGACTTTTTAGTATAGCGCTTATTCCAGACCTTCCTTCTCTCTGGGTTTATGTTCCTCGTTTGTTGCCATGTCTTTAGTCTCTCTCCCTTTGGCAGTGTGATTAACCCTCTGTCCCCTGCCTTCCCAGATTATTGCTATTCAGGTCTGTTTATGGACTGATGGGAGAAGCCTCAAGGGCCCACTTTTTCTCTGTTATATCAGAACAGCTTTCTAGACAGTCTTTCTCTAGGACTTCCGATGTTTCACAGTGGGCATTTCAGGGATTAGGTTTGAATCAAGGGGAGGGGGAGTGGTTTCGTTTCTAATAAGGAGATCAGTTGGAGGTAATTGGAAACTTACAGCAATTTTCACTTTGAAATCACCTTCCTGTATGTATATTATACACTGAGTTCCAATGAATTACTTTCTAATTGTAGCATTTTAGTAGAATAGGGATTGGTACACTACAGTGCGTGGGCCAAATCCAACCCACCACCTATTTTTGTAAAGTCGTATTGGAACACGCCATGCCCGTTTTGTGTCTGCGTGCGTTTGTGCTGCAGTAGCAGAGCTGAGTCGTCGTGACAGAGACGGTATCCCCCGCACAGACTAAAATCCTCCCTCTCTGGCCCTTTACAGAAAAAGCATCCTGGCCTCTGCTCTAGTAGAGCGTGCCCCGGGCGATCTGGATAGGATGGGTACTGTACCAGGAACCGTGTGTATTAAATTCCCATGGCAATAATTTTTTTTCAGGAAACCCTTCAAAAATTTTTTGAATATATTGACCTCACATGTGAGAGCCATGCTTGTAGATAATGTATATAATGAAAGGTGTCACGGGGCACCTGGGTGACTCAGTCAGTTGAGCCTCTGACTTTGGCTCAGGTCATGATCTCATGTCTCGTGAGTTCGAACTCCACGTTGGGCTGTGCGCTGAGATCCTGGAGCCTGCTTTGGATTCTGTGTTTCCCTCTCTTTCTGCCCCTCCACTGCTCATTCTCTCTCTCTCTCTCTCTCTCAAAAATAAATAAACATTAAAAAAATTAAATAATGAAAGGCATCATATGTTAAAATCTTCAACTAGTTAGACTGGTTAGAATACATAGTGGTTTTTTGGCTAATATGCTTTTTGAGTTTGTTTGTTTTTTTTCCTCCCCTTTTTCTCCTGCTCTTTTTCTGCCCTTTCCCCTTCCTCCACCAACCAATTAAACAGGTTTGAATTCCTCAGCAGCATCTGTAGCAAATAACAGCCGCTCTTCTGGAGAGCTCCACCTGGGAGATCGCGTACTGGTGGTAGGCCAGAGAATTGGCGTCATTAAATTCTTCGGGACAACGAACTTTGCTCCAGGTAACTTGTCTGTGCATTCTTTGCTCAGTTTGCATGCTTTAGAATACAAAAGGTTTAAAATTTTACGTGGGTAAAACTTAACTGTAGAGAATTCTTGGTTAACAGTTGTCGTGGATGTTAGCTCTGGCACCGAAAAAGCGATACAGTGATAAAACCAGACTGTTTGTACTCAGGTTGACTCTTGTCCATAAATTTTCCTCGCCAGCTGTGTTTTAAATTGTCTGGTGTTAAAATTAGTTGTTATTCTCCCAACTTGACTTTCACTGATTGCCAAGCGTGCTAAATAACAGAGAGAAAATATTAGGATTAGATATTTGCTAAGGATAATCTTAAAATGAGTTCACGGCATAGAGCATTTATCAGAGTGGCTTGGAGAGAAAAGCCAGCAACAGGGTTTAAGGGAAAATGAAAAAGCTTTTGTGCACCCTGGGACCTTAAAAACACATGTTCGTGTATTTATATATTCATTCCAACCTAGACTTAATATTGTGTTTCCAAAAGTAAAGATTAGCTTTCTTTTGCATTTTCAGTGATTAAAAAAAATTTTTTTAATGTTTATTTTTGAGACAGAGGAGACAGAGCATGAACAGGGGAGGGTCAGAGAGAGAGGGAGACACAGAATCCAAAGGAGGCTCCAAGTTCTGAGCTGTCAGCATAGAGCCTGACGCGGGGCTCAAACTCACGACCGTGACATCATGACCTGAGCCGAAGTCGGACGCACATTTTCAGTGATTTTAATTTCAAATGTAGAAGCCAGTTGAGTGAAACCATGTTTGTGTGTTTTAAATGGCAATATGCTATTTTGACACATGGTGGCATTGCAGCATTTGAGGAAAAGGTTACCGAGACCACTGATTTTAAGTTTGTAGCATTCTGTCAAGAACTGTGAAGGATCTGAGATTTTACCCCACCTGTGTAGTTGCCACAGCTTCATAGATGCTGATGGAAGACTTTAGGCTCCTGATTCAGACACAGCCCTTTCATACTCACAGCAGCAGCAGAAACCAGTGTGTCAGCATTTTCCTACACTTGCTCCCTGAGCCCCCGTTCCCAGGGGGTGACACCTGCACACGCAGTGGTTTATGCTAACAGGAGAAGGGCCCTGAGCATAAGGGATCAGAACCTCTGTATTAGACAGCAAGCATGCCTGTGTTTTGTGTGGGCCGGCCGCCCACACTCTGTCCTCCAAGGTTGCCCTCTGTGCAGACATCCATGGAAGGACAGGAAGTGCCTCTGTTCATAAAACATGCAGAAACATGAGCGAGCCATGGAGAATTGTCTCCCCGCACAGACTTTTTCATTATACCACTTATAATTGCAACCCAGCTAATTGATTTGAGATGGGCTATGTGTTGTATAATTCATGTCTCTCATAGGTCTCCAGGTAGTAATTGAGATTAGTTAGGATGGTCTTAATATAGTTCTCAAATAAAAACCTAAGAATCCCAAAGGTAGGGTATTTTTTTTTTCACAATCTCCATGTCTTTGGAGTTTCCTTTCTCTCTCTTAAACAAGGTTAGAATGGTTTGATTCACTGGCTACAAGTCATTGTTTTCCATTGACTTTTCATTTTTCAATTCCTGATTTTAAGCATTTAGAAGTGTGGGAAGTCATAAGAAAACATAGAAGTTGGAAAGTTTTCTGTTGAAGTCATCCTGTCTTTTTAGAAAGTAGTAGCATGTGTTTCTTGTGGCATCAAAATTTCAATCAGTCGGTGTTAGGGAATGGTGCTACTATCGAGGCTTTTTACCGATTGTAAGATCTAGGCCTGAGGGAGGTCATTTGGCCTCTTTAGCCTTTTCTATTGGAAAGAAAATGACCATTTGAGTGGGAAGCGATACATACCATTACCAGACTGTGTGTACTCACAATTGCTGGCACTTGTCATAATGTCTTTCTGTGGTATGTTACCCATTTTCGAGAGTCATATGGTAAACGTGTCCCCGTTATGTGGTATGTTAAAGTGGGAACACTGTAACGGTGGCACTCAGAGAAATAAAAATGGCAACCAGACAACCCTGGTTAATGACATTCAGAAGTATGATGCTCTATTCCCAGAGCATGAGTTTGACTAAGCAGTAGGTTTGTATGCATTACTCGCACGCTGTTTAAGTATGGAAGACAGTGGTCATGCATTAGTCTTTTCAACACAAAAGTATCTAGAAATGGGCTCAAGTGTCATCTTTTTGAACATGAGAGGAAAAGACTGAAGAACTTTTAGGTTGTCATTTTTAAGGGTATATTGGCTCTTTGAATTCGTAATCTGAAAGAAACAATATTTTTGTATTCTAATTTGCAGTAAATTTCTCAATGTCTGTGTTTTTATTTTTTATTTGATGCTGATTGTAAGAGGCCAAAGGCAATTACTACTGTATTCTCCTTTTAAACAAAAACAAATGGGCCATTAGACACTTAAAATTTTTTTTAAATGTTTATTTCTTTCTGAGAGAGAGAGAGAGAGAGAGAGAGAGAGAAAGAGGGAGAGAATGAGCGGGGGTGGGGCAGAGAGAGAGGGAGACAGAATCTGAAGCAGGTGCCAGGCTCTGAGCTGTCAGCACAGACATGTTCGAATCCATGAACCATGACATCATGACCTGAGTGGAAGTTGGACGCTTAACCAGCTGAGCCACCCAAGTGCCCCTAGACCATTAGACACTTTTAAGTGGTCTTGGGGTACCCTCAACTTGAGAATCCTTATTCTAGGAGTATATATGTCTATACTTAGACTAGGAGTATATGTCCATTTACATAATTCTTACCACACTAAAAGCAACCTCATTGCTTTAACTTTAGGTTCTCTAGAAAAGGAAGTCCTATAATTTTCCTCAGAGCCGTCCCTTTTATATACTTAAAAGCCTTTTAGAGAATTCTTCCTGCTAGGTAATCTAAATCTTTTCGCTAAGGTTGAATATGATTTTTCTTTTTACCCTGGCTGGGGCAAAAAAGAAAAGAAGAGTCACCATGAAGTCTTGTTGTATTTTCCGTATTACTTTTGACCTTCTTTAATTATTTAAGAACTGTTTGTGGTGTTGTAATGTTGGGAGGAGAAAATGAAAATATTATATGTTCATTTTATGATTTATACAGCTCAGTATTTTTTTGTGCTGTATTTCTCTCAAACACACCATATTCCTGAGTCAAGGACGGTTTCTTTTTCATTATAGCTTTTAGATACATTTTGGCCATACACTACTTGCATAATAGCTAATTTGTGCCAAATTTGTGTATTTTCTCTCTCTCCTTTAACATACATAATTCGGCTTGTGAAATGTTTTTCCTGTTTATTTTTTTAAATTTTCAAATTTTATCATTTGAAAACTTAACGATCATGATGCTCTTCCATCATTTTGGTCATATATGAAAGTGTCAAGCCATCCAGGCTTTGGGTTTTTATAATAGCATAACAATTTTGGATACAGTGCAAATGCTTTTAAAATTCAATATTCTTGTTCTAGGATATTGGTACGGTATAGAGCTTGAGAAACCCCATGGCAAGAATGATGGCTCAGTTGGAGGTGTGCAGTATTTTAGTTGTTCTCCGAGATACGGAATATTTGCTCCCCCATCCAGAGTACAAAGGTGAGAAGGATGGCATTTATGCTTATTCACAAGGCTTTTTGTAATTTGCAATGGTTTATAGTGAGAGTTCCTCGTTTTGTATTAAAGACATGCACTGCACTGACTACAGCTCGTGTCTTCTTTCAAGGGGTTAACCAACCACCTTCTTCAGAGAGAAGGCTCATGGAAAGCTAAATTTGCTTTGCTGAGGATTTGCAATTTTAAAACCCTCCTTTATTCCTCATTTGCAAACCCTATGAGTATGTGTAGGCTATTAGAAGTGGCGTTTGCTGCTAAGAACAGTGAGAGCAGCAAGCTTAATCTGTCATGCAAACAAAAGTAAAAATGCTCTCTGATTGCTTCAGTCACATCCTAACTACATTAAATTTCCTGCCAGCAGGCACCCCATTCATTCTCCTACAAACCTAATGGAACCAAAATGGCTTTTTCCTCTGATTTCTTTAGTTTTCAAAAATAGATAGGCAGTAGATCTTTGGGGGAAGTGAAGCTTTAAGGATTTATATATAATATACCTCCTCAGTGTTTCTCCTTAAGATGGTACACTTTTGTAGCTGCTCACTCTGGCTTTAAAAAATTAAGTTGAGCAGAAACAAGTTCTTGTGAAATTCCAGGTACCATTATGGGAAATGACTTATGTGCTGAAAGAAGTTGGCTTGGCGTGCTTCTCAGTAGATGGGAAATGGGATACTAATCTTTAAATAGGAAATAACGTCTATGGTGTGATCACGTTCATGAGAATGGATCGGCCATCGCATCCCGAGAGTCCCATCTAGTTCCCTTCTAGCTAGACTGTGTGACTGCCTCCTGGCACATCTTATCGCTTTTATGTCTGTTTTCCCCTTCACTTTGTTTCTCTTAATAGCTACATGCAATTTTTATATTAATTTCCTTCTTTGATGTATCTGATACAATTTTTTTCTTGTTATTTATGACAGAGTATTGAACATATATAATGCTTTGCAGTTTATGAAGTAACTTCAATTAAATGTTGTTTCATTTGATCCTAATAAGTATTTGGTCAAGCAATCTGGAAAATAACAGTAACTGTGACAAAAATTTATTGAGCATTTAGTAAATGGTGTGCTCTGTACAGTGTATTTTAGACGCATATTTCAAATCCAGTGAGTTGTAAGGTATTGTGATTATTTTATTTTGCCAATGAAGAGAAGTTTCAGGGAGAAAGTGACTTAGCTAAAGTCATATAGTGTAGGGAAGCAAAAAGTTTCCTCTATCCTCTTAGGGTCAGTAGCTGAGTGGGGGGTGGGATAGGGTGTCTGTGAACTAGATTGACAGCAGATAGATTAACAGGAGAAAAGGCATACAAATTTATTACATTTAAATTTGCCAGCACCTGGGCACCACAGAAAGAAGCGAATACCCAAAGGAGTGGTGAGATTGGAGAGCTTATAGACCATCTTACTGGGAGAAAGGCCTCTGAAGGGAGGGCAGCTGGTTTTCTGGAAAGATAACGGGCCCTTGGGAAAATGGGTGGGAGGTGAGATAGTTGGTGACAGCGTCTCTCTGGGTGTGGCGTTAACTTCCCGTCTCCTCCTCTGGGATGCCAGTCTGTCTTCCCTGCTTGATGTAACTTGGGGAGGGCAGAGTCCTTCTCTTTGGAGCACCTGTTTTAGGCAGATAAGGGGAGTTCAGAGAAAGCCTCTTCCCGCATTCGTCGATTCTCAAATGTCTTTAGTTCAAAATAATCCTTATGGCAGAGCAGCATGTTTGGTAGTGGCTCATTTTGGTCTCTCCTACACTAGTTAATGACGGAGCTGGACTCAGCCTGGGTTTGTTGTTTTGTTGTTGTTTTTCCTAAGCCCTTGCTTTTAGGTAGTTTGCTGTTTTTTGGTATGTGCCTTATACATAAAGAAAAAGAGATACTAGCCAGTGAACAGTACTTCTATCATCGGGTCAGCACGGTTTAGAGGTCCGCATGTATCGTTCACTCCTTTGCAGCTCCCTGTGGGTCAGGTACTGTAATGCCCCTGTCTCACAGGTGGGGAGATGAAGGCACAGGGAACTAGTAGGCAAGTGTGCACAGCTTTCAAGTGGGAATTTGAACCCAGGTAGTTTAATATCAGAATGTGTGTTCTTAACCAGTACCCTGTGACGAGTAAGAGAGAGTTGGTGCCTTTCTTCAGGACTGATGTCTTAAATAAGATTCATTTAGGGTAAGATCCATGCTAAGTCCCCAGTCTTCTGGGTTCTCTTATTAGTTTGGACAAATCTCCATTAACACATTGCTACAGTCTCTTACAAGTTTTGTCTCCTAGTCCTGAGGACCGGGGTTCTTCATTTATATTTGATTGCCCAGAGGACATGGTTGGGCATATTTTGGGCACAGTAGATACTGACCAAATCTAGGGCAGTGTTTTTCTTATGCTATGACAGTTTTTTCCCCCTTTTATATTGTGAAGTCACTGTCTCTCTCATGTTCGTGTTCTTTTTCTTGCGTTGTTTATAGGTTTTTACCTTTTTTTTTTCCTTGCCTTCTATTTGGTCGTCTTTAAGGTGATTCTTTTAAAAGCAGCCCCCTCTTCTTAAAAGATACAGGGCTCTCTCTCTAAATGAACTGCTGTCTCGATCCAGCTGTCTTCCTGTCATCTTCTGATTGTCTCATTCATCATCATCGAATACTATTAAGTGTCTTTTAGCACTTTGTGCTGTGCTAGGCATTCTATAAGCAAATAAAACAGACATGGTCCCTGATTTTGAGGAATTTCTAATTTAAACCAGCTTTGGAGCTCTTTAAAGACACCACTGATCTCCAAGAGGAAAGAATTTTAAACTAGGGACTGCTTGAGGACAGTCTTAATGAAGTGGTGACCAATCACAATTTCACTCTTCCCAGATTGTAGCTGGCTCTTTCCCCCTGCTTTGCGTTAAAAAGAATGTGCCTCCTGTCTGAGAATCTCTGCACATGTTATTTCCTGTGCTTCAATAGCTTTCTACTATCACCCAGCTTTCATTTAGTTAATACCTTTTCTTCCATTAACATATAAATCAACCTATTTCTTTGCAGAAATTCTAAGAAAACTTACTGACTAGATCTGATCTGCTCTCTCTGCCTACCTCCCTGTTTTTTGTCCAAGTGGTCTTCCTCATCACAGTATTTTCTTATTCTTAGTTCTCACCATTATAGGTACTTATTAATGAACTGATCGCTTTTAGAATTAAGTTCTTCTCAACTACCCATCACCACCTGATTATCCGTCCTCTTCATCAAGTCATAGTCTTTGCGTTCAGCAATCTCTCACTGATTGCTGTAGTGTGTATGTCAAGTAAAAATGATGCATGTGAATTGCAAGGTGGAATTGCAAATATTGTGAGAGTTGCTGGATTTCTTGATGGTGACCAAGTGTCCTGGAAGAAGTGATTGACAGAAAGAAGGCTTTGTGGGTTAGGTCAGTAAACAACTGAAAGAAAACGAGACTATTAGGATTGGCTTTTAAAAAAATAAAGAATGATTTGAATATCAAGAAATACAGTCCTGTCAGGAAAGTTACCTTTGTGGTTGTGCTTGGGGTCAAATAGAAAGTAAAAGACGTTGAATTGTGTTTGGTTGTGCAGTTTTATCAGAAAATCACATACGTACACAGACTGAGTCAGTATTTGATTTTCAATTTAAAAATGTGATGTTTTTACAATTCTAATTGAACATTTGTTAAATTTAATGTAAGACAAATTTATTTCCATATTATTTAGTTTCATCTTTGAAGATAAAGTTCCAGAGAAATAAAGTCAGGTCTCTGTTGTAAGTGAATTCACCTTAAGTCATCTTTTTCTTCATTAACCATCCTTAAACAACAAGGGGCTCTTGTATTTTATTACTGCCTGTATCTGATGCTAGCTTGAAGTTCCTTTCTGACTTCTGATAGATACCCAATGCATGTTTGTTGAATAGTGAACTAAGAAATAACTGTTGTTGTGAAAACCTCACTTGAGCGCCAGTCTTAAATCTGAAGACCTGCTGTTTGTTCTAATGAGGCTTACAGTACTTGTTTTATTCACAGGGTAACAGACTCCCTGGACACCCTTTCGGAAATTTCCTCGAATAAACAGAATCATTCTTATCCTGGTAAGTTTACACAATTTTATGTTCCTAATCGTTGTTCCTTTGCTTTTATCTATTGAAAATTTTTTATTGTGAAGTATTTGTGTATACAAAAGGGCATATAAATGTATTCATACAGTTACTGTAATGATAAAGCAAACATCTTTTACCCGTCTGCTAGGTGAAGATGACCTGTACTGGGGGGGGGGGGGGGGGGGGGGGGCCCTGAGTGTCCCCAGCCTCCTCTGCCTCCCTTTTCATATACTTTGTCCTCAGGTTATGAGTCTTGAACTTTATGTTCATTATTCCCTTGACTGACTTTATATCTTTATCACCCACATATAGATGTATTAATAAATAATATATATTAGGAAATACATATGTATTTGATTGTCATTGGCTATTTTGTTAGTGTTCCACTAAAACATAGTAGTTATTCTATATTTGATGGATATTTGTGTTATGTCCATTTTTTTTTTTTTTTTTTTTACCGTTACAAACTAGACCATTTTACACATTTGCAAACGTTTCCCTAGGATGGCCAGGTGTGGTCTGTCCATATCTTCACCCTCCCTGGGCAGTGCCGGACTGTTGGCAGAGCACATGCTCATGAGCAGGGATGACAGCCCCTGCTGCTCTTTACCTCCCCAACACTAGTCCTGCTTGATTTAGAACTCTTCACCCATCTGATGGATTTAAGCTGCATCTCGTGGTTTTAACTTGCATTTTCCAGATTACAGATGAGGTCGAGCCTCATGTTTACGAGCCATTTGCATTTCCTCTTTTGTGACGTAACTGTTCAAGTCTCTTGCCCCTTTTTCTTTTGGTTGGTTTATCTTACTCATTTGTAGGTTTCTTTCTATACCTTGGACACTAATACTTTGCTAGTTTTGTGTGTCGCGAATACCTTGCTTGCCTGTCTGGTGTCTTTTGATAAACAGAAATATTTAAATTTTAAGTAGTCAAAATAAGAAGCCATTATGTTTTCATGTTTTATCTTAAGAAATCTTTTTCTGAGGGCATTTGGATGGCTCAGTCGGTTAAGCAACTGACTTTGGCTCAGGTCATGATCACGGTGAGTTCAAGCCCCACATTGGGCTCCGTGCTGACAGCTCAGAGCCTGGAGCCTGCTTCAGATTCTGTGTCTCCATCTCTCTCTGCCCCTCCCCTGCTCATGCTCTGTCTCTCTCTGTCTCCAGAAATAAATAAACGTTAAAAATTAAAAAACAAAAAAAGAAAGAAAACCTTTTCCTGGAACAGACCTCACACAGATATTTTCCTGTACTGCTTTCTAAAAGTTTTGTATTTTTGCCTTTCATATTTGTCAGTCCACCTGGAATTTTGTGTATGCTAAGGGTCTAATTTCATTTTTTTCCATAGGATAGCCATCTGTGAAAGAGTGATTTGTATAATACCCGTCCTTAAAAATTTGTTGAGATTAATTTTATGGCTTATGGATTTTCACCATTAGAATAGGTGTGGAGTAGTACCTCATTGTTTCCATCTGAAGTTCCCTGATGGTGTATGATGTATTAGTTTGCTAGGACTAGCATAACAAAGTACCACAGACAGTGTGGCTTCAACAAATCCGCTTTTCTCAAAATTCTGGAGGCAAAATCAAGCTGTTCACAGAGTTGGTTTCTTCTAAGGCTCATGCCGTGCCTCGTAGATGGTGGTTTCCTCCCATGTCTTAGCATAGTCTTCCTCCATATGTGTCTGTGTCTTAATCCCTTTTTATAAGGACACCAGTCATGGATTAGGGCTGACCTGTGTGACCTGATTTTAACTTAATTGACATTTTAAAGGCCTGTTCTCCAAACACAGTCACATTCTGAGGTCCTGGGGATTAGGATTCCAACATATGAATTTGGAGACAGGGGCACAATTCAGCTGACAACGCAGTTCAGCTGATAACACAGTTGAGGATACTTGCATATATTTGCCATCTGTATATTTTCTTTTTTTTTTCCTTAATTTTATTTTTTAAAAATTTACATCCAAATTATTTAGCATATAGTGCAACAATGATTTCAGGAGTAGATTCCTTAATGCCCCTTACACATTTATCCCATCCGCCCTCCCACAAACCCTCCAGTAACCCTCTGTTCTCCATATTTAAGAATCTCTTATGTTTTCTCCCCTCCCTGGTTTTATATTATTTTTGTTTCCCTTCCCTTATGTTCATCTGTTTTGTCTCTTAAAGTCCTCATATGAGTGAAGTCATGTGATTTTTGTCTTTCTCTGACTGACTAATTTCACTTAGCTTAATACCCTCCAGTTCCATCCACGGAGTTGCAAATGGCAAGATTTCATTCTTTTTGATTGCCGAGTCATACTCCATTGTGTATATATATACCACATCTTCTTTATCTGTTCATCCATCGGTGGACATTTGGGCTCTTTCCATACTTTGGCTATTGTTGATAGTGCTGCTATAAACATGGGGGTGCATGTGTCCCTTCGAAACAGCACACCTGTATCCCTTGGATAAATGCCTAGTAGTGCAATTGCTGGGTCATAGGGTAGTTCTAGTTTTAGTTTTTTGAAGAACCTCCATACTGTTTTCCAGAGTGGCTGCACCAGCTTGCATTCCCACAATCTGTATATTTTCTTTGGTGATTGTTCATTCTGGTCTTCTGCTCATTTATAAATTGTGTTCATTGTTTTCTTACTGTTGAGTTTTAAGAGTTCTTTGTATATTTTGAATGCTAGACCTTTATTAGAATGTGTTTTGCATATCTTTTCTCTAGTCCGTGGCTTGTCTTTTCATTGTCTTAACAGTCTACACCAGGGTAGAAGTTTTTAGTTTTAGTAAAGTCCAACTTAACATTTTTTTTCATGGATTATGCTTTTGGTGTTGTATGTGAAATGTCATTGTTAAACTCAAGTTCATCCTGATTTTCTCCTGTGTTATCTTTTTAGGAGTTTTATAGTTTTGTGTTTCCCATGTAGACCTATGATACATGGAGTTAGTTTTTGTGAAAGGTGTGAAGTCTGTCTGGATTCTTTTTTTTTTTTTTTTTTTTTTTTTTTTTTTTTTTTGCATATTTTAGGACTGTTTGTTAAAAAGTCTATCCTTTCTCCATTGAATTGCCTCTGCTCTTTTGTCAAAGATCAGTTGACTGTGTGAGTCTATTTCTGGGCTCTCTCTTCTGTTCCACTGACCTGTTATCTTCCACTAATACCACGTTGTCTTAATTAATGTAGCTTTATAGTAATTCATCAAGTTTAGTAGTGTCAGTCTTCATGGTCTTCTCCCGTAACATTATGCTGGTTATACTGTGCCTTTTGCCTCTCCATATAAACTTTCCAATTAGTTGATATCCACAAAACAATTTGTTGGGAATTTGGGATTGCATTAATTATATAGATCACATTGAGAAGAACTATCATCTTAACAATATTGAGTCTTCCTATCCATGAACATTGAATCCATTTATTTAGATCTTATTTGTTTTTTTTATTAGAGTTTTATAATATTCCTCATATAGATTTTGTAAATGTTTTATTAGATTTATACCTAAATATTTCATTTTTTTGGTGTTAATGTAAATTGTATTGCTTTTTAAATAATTCTTTTTACATTATATCAGCTTTCTTTTGGTCAAATAATTGCTTTTCTATTAGTTGTCTTATAACTTTTCTACATCCTATGCTTTTGGAATACTTTCTAAATAGAATATGGTTGGATTTCACTTGTTAAAAAAATATGGTTTGACAATGTTTTCCTTTTAACCTGAGAGTTTCACCTAATTACATTTATTGTAAATACTCATATATTTGGATTTATTTATGCTGTTTTCAATTTTTTCAATTTTTATACTTGTTTTTCTTTCTTGACTTTATTCTAGTTACATTTCTGTCCTTTTTTTCATTCCATTCTGTACTTGAATGAAAGTTGTGAACATACTTCTTAGTAATTACTATAGGTGCTTTGACATACATACCTAGCAAAGTCTACAGTTAAGCATTATATGTACTCTTTCCCAAATGACAGAGAATCCTTAGAAACTGAGTTATTCATCTATTTGATTTCCCCCACAAATTTTGCATTATTATAATAGCTTTTTTAAAGTTTATTTATTTATTTTGAGAGAGAAAGAGAGCAAATGGGGGAGCGACAGAGAGTGGAGATGAGAATCCACGCTCAGTGTGGAGCCCTATGTGGGGTTCCATCTCCAAACTGTGAGATCATGGCCTGAGCCAAAATCAAGAGCCAGACACTTAACCAACTGAGCTACCCAGGAACCCCTATTTATAATGGGTTTTTTAGTATAATTAATAACCAATATTTAATTTGCTCATGTATTTACCAGTGTCATTAATCTTCAGAACTTTAACTTGGGATATTCCACTCCTACCACGTGTATATTTTTTGAAATTTCTTTTAGAAAGTGTCTGTCTCTCATGTTTTTGTCTTTTCTAATAATAGTTTTATTGGGTAAAAGTAAAAATTGGTGAAAATTTGAGTTTGAGAGATGTTTTCTCGTTGCACATTGACAATATAATTTTACTATTTTCTATCTTCTGTCACTTTTTTTGTGAAGTCTGTGAGTCTATCTAATCTATACTGTTGTAGGTAATTTGTCTTTCTTTTTGATTGCTGTTAAAGATCTTCTCTGTTTCCTTTGTGTTGTATGGTTTCACTATGACGTGTCTAGAGGGAGATTTCTTTTCATTCTCTTTGCTATCATGGGTCTTCCTGGATCTGGGAATTACTATCTTTGGTAAATTCTGTAGGACTCTTGTCTGCATACTTAAAAAATATTTCCTCCTTCTGCCTCTTTATTATCTCCTTTGGAAGCTCTGATGAGTAGTGTGGTAGACTTTCCCATGCCTCTTTCATATTTTTCACATTTTAGTCTCTCTGGACTGCATTCTAGACAACTTCAGCTCTGTCTTCATGTTTCCTGATTCTTTCTTCAACCATGTTTATTATGCTGTTTAATCCACCCACAAAGTTTTTAGTTACAAAATTTGCATTTCTTGTTTCCTTTTCACAACTGTTTTGTTGTCACTTATTTTTGCTTGTTATTTCCCCATGTTTTTTCTTTTATCTCTTTAAACATTTGAAATATTGTTATCTTTTATGTTAAGTAGTTTCATATCTGAAGTCTTCATGTGTCTGATTCTGCCATCTGTTTCTGTGAATCTAGCTTATGGTACTTTCTTTACTTGTGAGTTTTGTGATTTATTATTGTGAGATGCTTATTTTACTCAGAATTTAATGTACAGAAATTCTTTGAAGCCTGGGTTCATGCCTCCAGAGAAGATTGCGTGTTCTTCTGCCAGTTATTCCTGGAGGCACTGACAACCCGGGACTACTTTAATTTACAGTCCTTGCAGTTTTTCTTTTTATTACACAGATAAAATTTGGCTTATCACGGATTTTGAAGGGAGGAAATTTTGCTGCCTTCTGAGCATTAAGGTTGACACAAGTGTTTGTTTTATCTTTGTCAGAATGGTATTTCATTTTGTTTCTCGTTTAACCTTACACTGAGGGTGAGCTGGTTGGGATCCACGTTTTAACAGAGAGTCTAGCATTAGAATCCCCATCTTCTTAGGCCCTGGGCTTTATGCCCTTTCCCATCTCTGGTGCAGCCAGTAAGGCAGAAGCCAAAATTCTCTAGAAGTTAGTGGCAATCCTGTGGCACAAGGTGATAGATTGCTTTGGTGCTTGGTTACTTCTCATGTGCTCTCTGTTTGGTTGTTGGTCTCCCTGAAATTTGCCTTTGTATCAGCTCAATAATATATATATATATTTTAAGTACAGTTGTTTAAAATTATACTCGCTTCAGTTGAGAGATTCATTCAGCACATCTGCTTGCCATAGCTTTCCAGAACTGGAAATCTTACATTTTTTTAAAAACATCTTTTTAAAAATGTACATTTCATGAAATCTTTTTTTTTTTTTTTAATAATTCTGTCCTTGGGGGTTCCAAGAATCGTAAACTCTTGAAATTTGTTCAGTATTTTATAAATGGAATATATTTAGTGATAGTGTTTTTAAACCATTTTATCCTTTATGTGATTTATCAAGATGATAAATATTTGAGTAAAAAGATTCAGCTTTATCATTATACAGTTTTATTTGGTTTTCAAGAAATTTTATAATAGAAACCTCCAAATGTAATGTCATGATCTTAACTTATTGATACAAATATGTATAGTTTGATGAGAAAGGTAAGATAAAAATTCATCAAAAAATCTAAACCACTGTTGTATTCTGTATGTACTTATTTTCTTTGCTTTCTGTTCCTGAAGAAATATTGGGTAGACTAGAACACCTGTAGAAGGAATGATAAAAGATAACTTTTAATGAGGACTGCAAATTTGTGATTTATCTTTCCTCTTTGACCTTAACTTTGACATTTAGGTTTTAGGAGAAGTTTCAGTACGACTTCTGCTTCTTCCCAGAAAGAGATTAACAGAAGAAATGCTTTTGCCAAGTGAGTATTAAGAAGATTTAGAAAAACACTTTTCAAGATGAACATGACAGGATTCTGTGAAGAAAGAAAATAGATTTTGTATCTTTTACATTGCTCGGTAGAATTTTAGCACTTAGGAGAAAAGGTGTGAGTGTATTGAGCAGAGTCCTCCCTCCCACCCTCACAAGCTCAATTAAAAATGTCACTAGTGACTGAGAGTGGTATACTGCATTTATTTTCAGAGGGGTTTAGTACTGTTAATAAGACTTAGAGGAATTTATATTTTGTGTTATCATAGGGTGGATTGATTTTAAACTGTTTACTTAGAGACTTGAGTTAATATTTCTGGCAACACAGGAAAGAAATGTCAGGTCTTTCTGCATAAAGTGATCTTACTGCTATTTTAAAAAATACTCCTACTTCCTCTAGTAGAGTATACTGCTCAAAATGGTTTTTTTTGTTGTTTCTTTATAGAATCTTTTTTTCCTTTTTCATTTCTATTTATTTCCTTCAGACCCACTTTACTCTCCTGAATATTTTTCTGACACTTTTGAGAACTTTTTTTCTTTTAGAGGAATATAAGCCTCTTCTAGATTGAATGGGTTAAGGAGTTCTTTTTTTTTTTTTTAATTCTTCCAATTAATGTAAAGACTAATGGCCGGGGCTGTGTATGTATTGGGGTAGGGTCGGGGTGGGGTGGGGAAAGGAAAATGGTCTGAGTGAGTAGAGAAGTGCGCAATCTTGCGTGGGTGTGGTGCTCTGGAAGCCACTAGAAGTGGAGCCCAGGCACTGGAATGTGGCAGTGAACTGAGCACCAAGCAGGCAGTTTATGTAATAATCTGGTGAGAAGTTACAGGGGGTGTCACAAGGATTGCAGATGTCACTTGCCAACCTTGATTGTCCCACGACACTGCTAGGTATTGTTTAGCAGAAGTGGCCAGGGTTTCTGTTTTTTTTCTTTCCATAAAACCTTCACCAATTTTGAGAATGTTGAAATTGGTCTCCTCACTTGAGTAGCTGAGAGAGTTTAGGGCCGTGACTCTCTGTTCCAGTTTCTTGAAGACATCCAAGCCTTTTTAGGCAGAATGGAAGAAATACCAGGAAGAGGCCACCTGGATATAAAGGACTCTCGGGGGGGCGAGGACAGGGGGAGTGTCAGAGGCCATGTGCAGTGCTGGGGGTTGGAGAGCACAATGTCCAGGGAAGCGAGGGAAGGAGGAGAAATCTGAACCACGGGCTTACGCAGCAGGTATGGTTACACACCAGATAATGTCTGACATGAGGGGAGAACATTCGTACCTCTCTTTGTTTTCTATAAAAATAAAAAGAAATGAAGCTTTACTGATACTTTGTACAGATTGAGACTAGCGCCTGTTTAAAAAAAAAGAGAGAAAGAAATACACTTTTATTAAGGGTATAAAATCAATTTTTAAAATAATTTATTTTTGCTTATAGAGTACATGACTAAAATATTTGGTGGTTGCTCTTCTAAGGAACAAAAGAAAAACTTTGGGTGTTGACAGGTACTAGGAGCCCCGTGTCTGATCTTGGGGTAGGGGGAGATTAGAGCGATGGATGACCTGTGGGCACAGAGTTGGTCGGGTGTTGTGTGTTATTAGGCTGGAAGCACGATGTATTCTGAAGACTGTGGGTTGAAAAATGAGTTTATTGAGATTCCCCATGCACTACCATTTTCTTGTTCATTCATATGGAAATAAATGATACTTCAGAAGAAACCTGGAAAATGTAGAGGTGATGAACATTCCTGGGGAGGAAACATGAAGGATTTGGGCAAAGGACATGCCTGCCCCACATGAGAGAGGAAGTGAGGAAAGGGAACAGGATCTGTTTTTCTGTGTCGTTTATTGAGTGACAGTGATGAATGCATTTCACTCAGAGGACAGAGTGATGGAGAGAGGGTCGAAGCAATTCTTCTGTCTTCAGAATTCTCTACCCCAAGAATGGGGGTAGAGGGAAAGGCGGCTTGGGATTTGTACCGGCACCACAGTGACCTGGTAGTCATGACGCGTCCAGCCTGCATCTGTCTCTCTTCTGTCACTCATTCCGGTCCTTGCCAGCTTCTTTCAGCCCCTCTCTGTGTTATCACAGCACGTCCTGTCTGTGGAATCCAGCCTATTGACACGGTTTATGCGGTCAGCTCACACGTGAATGTCTTTAGGCAGAACTCCCATAATCCAGTTTGCTGAGTGTTCCATTATTTCCATATCATCTGTTTGCATTTTCTGCCCGCCCCTTGAAGCTTCTCAGTTCTCAAACCCAGAATGAAGTCCACGTTCACTGGCACAGCATCTAAAGTCCTTCCAGCAGGCACAGCTCCTGTTTCTCCTGACTTCGTTCTCATGGCGACTTCCTCATAAGTGAGGCCTACGTGTCTCTTCCTCACTCAAGTATCTTCCCTGGCCCTTAAGGGAGGATAGAGTTCTTTCTCTTTTCTGCTCCTTCTGCACCATACACAGTCTTTATTGCAGTATTTATAACTATTTACTGACTATTCACAAATCCTAGAACCCAAGCCCGGGCCTGTCATTTCATACGTGGTCAAGTAATGTTTTTGAATGAGTAAACAGAGCTCTGAAATGTACTGTAATTCTAAGTTTTGCACTTCCCGGAGCTTTTAGAACTTTGACATAAGTTGAATCAAATCATTCTTCTTAGAATGTTTAGTCTTTATCCAAACCATGAATTTTTGGTTTAGATCTTGAATTGATGTATTCCTTCTTTCTTTTAAAACCTTTTTGATTATGAAAGTTGACTGTACATTTGAAAAATTATAAAAAGCTAAGTGCAGATAAAGATCATCTAGAATTTTATCACCTAGATGAGATTATTACTCCCATTTGGTGTATAGTTTCCCAATTTTTTTTTCTAAAGCATGTATCTGAATTTTAAACAAAAATGGACAAATCATACTCTACATACCCTTTGAAAGCTTTTTCCTTAATAAATCCCCCATTCTTTAACAGATTTCCTTAGTGTGGCTTTTGTAAGGTCTTAAAGACTGTCCTGTGATATGGAAACATTTTTATGGCATACAAATTAATTTAAAAAATCAAGATTTAACTAATAGTAGATGCCAAACTTTATATACATCTATTTGTTTCCTCCCCTTACCACCTGTGTTTGTGTGTGTTCAGGTAAATATCCATTTTTATTTTCTTGTAGTTCTCTATTTTCTAATTTATGTATTTAGCTCTTTAATTTATTTGGAATTTATTTTAATATACAGTGAGTAGTAGGAATCATATTCTTTTTCCCCGAGATGACTTTTACAACACCCCTAGCTGAATGTTCATTCCTGTCCCACTGATGTGAAGTTTTCCTTTTTAATCACATAAGAAAAAAAATTATGTGTGTTTTTCTAAGGGTTCTTTTCTGTGTCATATAAAAAGTACATTCTTCTGCCAGAGCCACATTGTTTATATTATTGTAACTTTAGAATTTAGCATGACAGCTCTGTAAATCTTTGCTGTGTTAGTTTTCAATTTTGTCTTAATTATCAGCACCCATTTGTGGTTGTAAGAGCCTGGCCTTGGTGCCTGGACCAACTTGCACGTGAGCCCCATCTCTCCTCTTCACCATCATTAATTAAGCAAATAGCTTGATTTTTTTGAGCCTCAGATTTCTCCTACATTCGAAGGGAGATCATCTCTAGGTCAGTGGTTGGGTGAGGTTGGATGAGATCACGAATGGGAAGTGTCTGGCACGCAGTGGGCGCTCAGGAAGTGATAGCGTCATTTTTGTGTGGACTGTGGAGTGACTGTGTGTGGGTTGCAGGCAGTGTCCCTCTGGGGGTGAATTTGGGGAGAATCAACACATACGTGTTTCTCTCCAGGAACAAAGCTCTTTCGTTTATCTTTTGTATGTTCTTCAGTAAAGGTTTATACTTTTTCTAACAGGCACTATGTATTCTTTGTTAATTTTATCATTGTTATTTGTGCAGTTGGCATGATAAAGAATACTTTTTCCATTGTGTTTTCTAATTAGGATTCTATCACATAGTGGCAAGTGTGGCTTGGGACAAGTCTTTGGACTTGAGTTTTCTTACCCGTAAAATCTGAGTGCCCTCCCTTTCTTACAGGGTGGTTAATGGGAGGAAATGAGACGTTGTGTGGATAGTATATTAGAAACCATAGACCGTGAAATACAACGGAGAATAGGTAGGACCCGGCCTCTGTTCACAGTCAGGCACTGTGCAGTTTGGGTAGCGGGTTCCGCGTGGTCTCTGCTGTGGGGGCGGGAGACGGGTTTGCTTTCAAGGAGAGGTGGTAGCAGACTGAGCACGCAAGGCCCCGCTGGTGCTGGTTTCAGGAAAACCGTTTGGAGAGGCCTCAGGTCACAGGGAACAAGACCTTAGTGGCATTTGCACTGTGAGTGAGTTTCAGGTCAGTTATTTCCCGGTGACAGAGAGGAAGCTCTGGGGCGGGACTGGCTCGAGGCCTGGCTGAGTTCCCTGTGTGGGTGCGCAGTAGTTTCGTTATCAGGGCAGCTCAAGGGCGGGTGCTGCGAGGCAGCACATTTTAAATCATGTTTTATGGAGAAAAGGAGAGGAGTCTTCCTCCCGGAAGCTAAGACCCTCCTTACTGTTAGTGGCAGGGAGGGTGGTAAACCCTTTGGTGTGACCGGAGTTCATTCATAGAAGATATATATACATTTATTTTATAAAGTTAAGAATAGCAGTTTTTAAACATTGTTTTCAGGTAAATAAATGTTTAAAAAGTGAATAAAAGGTCATTTTAATTTACTACAGTGCTAATGTTTAGGTTTTTTTTTTTTTTTTTTTTTTTTTTTTTTTTTTTTTTGGCTTTGATAATTGATAGCAGTTAAATAGGTTATAAATGTATTTTTTCTAGTTGCTATTTTATAGAAAGTATATGTGTGTGTGCATGTATATTTAGAAATTGCTAGTGAAATCTTTTTTTATTAAATATTTTTTAATGTTTATTTATTTTTGAGAGAGCGAGCGAGGGAGGGGCAGAGAGAGAGGGAGACAGAATCCGAAGCAGGCTCCAGGCTCTGAGCTGTCAGCACAGAGCAGAGCCTGATGTGGGGCTCAAACTCACAAACTGTGAGATCATGACCTGAGCCGAAATCGGATGTTAACCGACTGAGCCACCCAGGAGCCCCGCCTAGTGAAATCTTCAATTCAGTTTAGGGTAGTGTTAAAATAGCCAAGAGAAAACCATTTTAACTGTTGAACAAAAGTATATCCTCATATTGCTACTTAGAATAAAAGCAGCTTGTGAATGGATTGGGACCCTGGGGCGGGAAGGAACTTGACAGCGTGAGGCTGGGTGCGCGCACCGCTTGCCTACTGACGCTCTCCCCTGCTCTCCCCTTTGCGCAGATGGAAACCCGCGCTGCGCCGCAGCTGGAGCGGGGCCCCCACCACGGGCGGCGTGGAAGGGAGCGTGAAGCTGCACGAGGGCTCCCAGGTCCTCCTCACAAGCTCCAATGAGATGGGGACCGTTAGGTACGTGGGCCCCACGGACTTTGCATCAGGGATCTGGCTGGGACTGGAGCTTCGAAGCGCCAAGGGGAAGAATGACGGAGCGGTGGGAGACAAGCGCTATTTCACCTGTAAGCCGAACCACGGAGTCTTAGTTAGGCCGAGCAGAGTAACCTATCGGGGAATAAATGGGTCAAAGCTTGTGGATGAGAGCTGTTGAAGTATTAAATACTAAATACTAATACTGCTGAAGTATTAAATGAGCTCACGTACGTACATAGGATAAAGAGTCCACAGCAAATGGTTCAGTTATCTAGCCATTGTTCTAGATTTGGAAGTAGAGCTATCTTCCTAGGAACCATTCTAACAATTCGGAGAGACCCCTTTAAAAAGCTGTCTGAGCCGTGGGCATCACGATTCATTTAAAACAAGTTCAAAATAAGCATTTTTAGAAGCTTTTGAAACTTTAGACCCAAGAACATTCTGAGACTTCGGGAAAAAACGGGTGCCGTTAGGTAACCGACTGACGGTGTTTACTCTTTGGCTTTTGCACATAATCCCGGATTTTCCATATGCCATAGTTGTGAGGGTTTTCACAGGCTTTGGTTAACATTTGACATTCACCTGGCCTTTCTCTGTCAAGTGTTTTTGGAGATTTTCTTTCCGTACTAAGAAGGACAATGAGAGAATAGTAGCTCTGTGATTAGTGTAGTTTTCCTATTTTTTGTTGAACTGATTTGCCCTTCCAGGAAGGCCACATCCAGAGATCTGCTAGAGCCCTGGAGGTGGTGGGCCTCTCAGCCTTTGCCAGATACAGAGATCCTCTTTCCTCACCCAGGGTCTCTAACCGGCTGATGAACAGGGGGGTCTCCTTTCCTACCTTTCCTCTATACAAAGCGCGTAATCACAGATTTTTCTTATGTATTGGCAACTGCCTCATCTGGATGAACTACAAAAAACCCATCATTAGATCTATGAATTCAAGTCGCAATTGGAATTTTTTGCACATACTTGTCTAATTCCTTATTGGACATGTCTATAATAAAACACACGAAGCACTTTTAAAATGTAATGCACTTTCATCTTTGTGGAGAATTTGCCATTATTCTTTCCCGGGATATGAAAAACATTTAGAAAAAATTATATTTAAGAGAAGAGAGTAAATTAAGATGTGTTATGAAGCATATAATAGTTATTCATTTAAATGTTTATGATTTCTTGATGTTTTTTGGTTCTGTTCATAAAACTAGTATTGTGTTTGCTATCACTGCTGTTTTTATATTTTCAGTCATTGCAGAATTCAGCCTATTACAAAACTACAGCCCTGTATCAGGTTTTTGTATTTTTTTTTGAGCACATGTTAACAAACTAGCCTTCAAAATAGAGTGATATAATGGAAAACGTTTGTGTCGTGGATATGTATTGACGTTTATGTCCTATGTGTATAAAGATTTATCTTTTATTGTAGATATTTAGACTTTAAACTACACAGAAATATTGGAACAGTTTATAAGATTAAAAGTATTCTTTAGAATGGAACTCGCTTTGTGCTTAGAAATAATACGTTGAACTATTTTGCAATATACTATTTAAAAGCTAAATTCTGTTGCTTTGCTGCCTTTTTAAAAGTGTGGTATTTCAAATATTGCCAGAGCTATTTTCCTGATATACATTTGCAAAGTATGGCTGCTTTATAATCAAGGAATATTTTTATTGATTAAAGAAAATGCCTGTATTGCAATTCAGAAGTAAACTTATTTTATTATACAGCTTATTTCTTTAAAACTCTATTTATACCTTAATATGAAAATCATGACTACTCTGAACTTGGGTGTCCATAATTCTTCCTGTTAAATATGAAACACCCTAAGTTAGAAACAGTAATGCCAACACTAAGGTCAGGGAAACGGTTGTTCTCATATTTAGATTAGGATTATTAAATCCATATACTGTGTATGTTTACATATACTATACATACAGATTAGGTGTTTTCATTTGTGTTTTGCTGATTCACTGTCATTCACAGTTCACTTCTTGAGCATTAATAAAAAGGGAAGCTGTTTTGGTTTTGGAATGTTATCTTGTCATTTACCCGACCCGCACAGCCCCTTCTCTTGGTGATTCAGAGCACACGGGTTCATCCTTTGCTTGTTTTCGTACCACTGTGACTTGGATTTGTCCCATCCTTCTAGTGTCTTCAAAAGTATCATGCTTTTGGGGCACCTGGGTGGCTCAGGCACTTGAGCATGTGACTTAGGTTCAGGTCATGATCTCACGGCTTGTGGGTTCTAGCCTGCATCGGGCCCTGTGCAGACAGCTCAGAGCCTGGAGCCTGCTTCCATTCTGTGTCTCCCTCTCTCTCCGCCCCTCTCCCGCTCACACTCTGTCTCTGTCTCTCTCTAATAAACACAATAAAAAAAATTTTTTTTTAAAGTATCATGCTTTCTACTAAGCAAGTAAAGTTGTGTTTTTATCCACCCTCCTGCTGTATCGTTTTGAAGGACAGAGAGCCATTTAAAAGAAGAAAGGGGTTTCTACAGTTTTCTAAAATTGCTTAACTTTCTTTTGTACCGATGGGATTTCATTTGTTTATTTAGGGTAGGATAGAATATTTTGAACTTAGATTTAAAAAACATATAAATAATTACCTACAGTCTTCTAAAAAACTTTATTTTTCATTTTAGGGTAATTTGGTGGGAATAGTTTTTAAGTGCTTAAAAGTGTTCGGATGCAGACGTTTGCAGACTCTGAACTTGGAGACGTGGCAGTCTTGTTCTGAGTGCCTTGTGCCCTCCTCTCCAAAACTGCATATGCCCCTCTTGTGTTTTATTTTTCTCCTCAGCATTTGCCATCCTTGGTCATACTCAACTTTCTGCTTAGCATTATTTCTCTCTTCCCTGACTAGATGGAGGGGTGGATTTTGACTGGTTCATTGCTCTATCCCTGACACCTGGAGTAATGCTTGGCGCCTAGTGGATGCTCAGTGAATGCTTGTTGAATGAACAGAGGCAATGAAGGCCATCGACGGTTCAAAGTGGAGATGTTATCTAGCTGACTTCAGACAGGTGGCCTCGAGAGACCCGGCTGTGGAACAGGTAATTGTGCTGGGGAAGGAAGGAAAGAGGACAAGAAAGGTTAGGGTCACGGTAGTCCAACTTTCCCCCACAACAGTGACCTGCAGAAGATAGGAAGATGGCAGGTGCTGGGTAGGAGAAGGGGAGGGCACAGCGACAGGGTCCCCTGAGGCACCAGCCTGTGTGTTTTCCCTGGGGCGGGGAGGGGCTTTGAATTTCTAGTTTGATAGGATGGCAAGTCAGAGGATGGAGTAGCATGTATGGTGTGATGCCGAGTGTGCCCGACGTTGGTCCGTGGTGCCAAACGTTTTTACTCCAGGGTTTCGTTTCGGACCATTTAGAATACGTGATAGTATCATTTAGGTCGCACTGACCTATGGCTAGAGACCCAATGTATTAAGAATCCTTCTTAATTGAGAAATAGATCTAATAATTGTAACTACTCACTTGACAATTTTTATCTAAATGATTGACTCAGAGACATAATAGGTATCACCACATTGCAAGCCAGGGGGAGAATTTTTTTATTTTTCTTCATGCCCTTTTTTTTTCACTATACTTATAATACAAATACAGTAGTTAATACAAAACTCACATCATCACATATATTTTTAGTAATTATCTAATAATCTCCCTTGCTACATAGGCCCTTATTTCCAGTGTCACACATAAAGCCGCTTGAACATTCGACGGACTTTCCTAATGACGCTTGTGTGTAGGCTGAACGAGTTAAATCGGACACGTTAAGATTTTGTGATAAGCAGAACATGCTTTTGCATAGGCAAAAAGAATTTCCTCTACCAAAATTTTTGCTAATGCTCCTTTTCGCAGGAGGGGAAAAGAATTGGGGTTGATGGGCACATGTTACCATGAGACTGTATTTTCATTGTGCTCGGTAGAAATGAAGCTGATTTTCTGCCTACGGCCTCTCTCTCGAGGAGAACACCAAGAGGTGTGGGAACCTTTTCTCCTCTTGTTCCTTTGGAATGTCTCAAGTGGGTGGAATCTTCATGCTGAAGCAGCAGCAAGCTTCAACATTTTCATCACATACTCTACGGTTCAGACAGGGCAGTGGGGTGCTCGCAGTGGTGCTGAGGGGGGCAGGAAGTTCTGAATTAGGTTAGTAAAAAATTAGGCGCTAGCTTAAAATGTTCCTAAAGACCACTAGTGTCATTTAAAAAGTGCTCATGAATCTGGCTTAAATTCAGCTTTAAAATCCTAAATGAACAGACCGGTGTGCTGCTTCTGTAGATATTGAGGGTATTGACCCACATGCACAGCTCTGGAGGAGTTTGGTCTCAGGGTTGGCTATTTTGTCAGAGTCGTTTGAATTGGATAGGTGAAGTTAAATGGTCTCAGAAATCTACTTGGACTGCACTGGATTTGAATTTCACTCATTTCTGGAGCGTAGGGGGTGTCAGTACCCAGATGCTGTGTCCTCATTGGCCCGAGCCAATCTCCTAGAGCTTAAGTTCTTTGAACTCCAGCCCAACAGAACTGAGGCTGGCTTTCCTCGAACTAGACTTACCTTCTTCAGGACTGAACTAATTACTCTTCACATAACAAACCAGACTGGCAGAGAAATGAATCATGTTAAAATGATACACAAAGCTTCAAGCATTCTTTTTATTCTTGTTTAATATGACTTCTGAGATTCAGCTTAAATCTCAGTACGCAGGGCTACTGACATTGGCTGCCCCTGACAGTTCTCGTTATGAAGGAGAGGTGTTACTCTCCAATATCTTTGGAAAAAAATATCCTAAGATGGATTTTAAAATGAATCCTAATAGCCACAAAAAGTCCCATATCGATGGCAGGGAAAGTGAATTTTGCATTACAGATAACAGAGAAAAGTGAAAAACGCCAGCCCCCTTTACTGACCCTGCTAGTGAAAGTGAATTTCTAATAAGAATTCCAATAGATTATCAGTTCGAAGGATTGTGATTTTCTCAAATCCTCCTGCCCCTTTCTTGAAGGGAATGGAGTTTAGGGAATAAAGAAATCACCTGGAGTTTCGGGAGGCCTCACTTCACACTGCCCGGTGTGTGACCAGGGAGAGTCCAGTGTGATACTATGCACTAGGCTCCTGTCTTGCATGAAACTTGACCAGCTGCTTATTGGTGCATATGTGTGCAAAAAGAATCTG